AGATCTTTTATTTTTTCGGGGGGCGTTGTATGAAGCAAGAGTGCATGTAACACCAGCTTTAAAAATTTCATCGATGTCTTTGCATTCATTTTTAAAAACTGTCGCAGCATTTTGCAAGTCCGTTCGTTTTTCGAAATTTTTTGCAAACACGTTTTTGCCACGTTGAAAAAAAGCTGACGGATTTCATATTGTTGTTTTTTAATACATATGATTGTATTAGATCCAAATTTACTGGAGAATACAATATTATCCATTATCCATCAGGATTATGATCAATTGTCGTCACAATACTAATTCTGCCAGTGGAAACTGGCAGTCATCATTTTCTTCAATATATTTGAAAATTGCTCCATTGCTGCATCCACTTGTATTATGACTGGATGAATTTTTTTATCCCTCTGGGTCTGTTTCACGGTAGTTTTCAAACGGATATAACAATCCGCGTGATACTTAGCGGCCTGAGCTACTAGATCTAACACATCTACAATTCTTTTATGGATATTGCGACAATATTCGCTTTTCTCTTCGCTTATCAAATTTAAAATAGTTTGCTTGAACTCAGAAGTAGTTACGTAGCTGATTTGCTGTCTTACGGCTTTGGACTTTCTTCTTTCCTTCATTTCATCCGCTTCTTTTTCACATAAAAAGCACTTATTTTTCCAATCAAAATCAATTGAAGTTGCCGTTGCAGTTTTTTTTTAGGTGGAGAGCATGTTGATGTGGTGTTCTTTTTTTTAAATAAGCATTAATACATCCTTTATTGATATATTTTTGTGTGCATACTGAATGCACGTAGACAAATTCGCAAGTATTTAAATACTGAGAAAGTCCATCCCCTCTTTCCACAGAAGCAGCTTTCAGTGTTGGTATTCCTCTAGTGACATTTATAATATCTCTTAGCTCAGAGCTTAATTCAGAGCTACATCCAATTTATCATTATTTATATTATCACTATTCGATGGTTCACCCATTTTGATACGATGCTGTAACAACAATTACTAATATTAATAATTAACCTTTATATCACAATTAATTAAAATTTCAGAAGGATGGGAATTTTCTTTTTTTTTAATTAATTAAATTATTATTTCTGCATTAATAAAATACATAAAAATAAACCCACTGTTTGTGTAAGCACTATCTTATAGGAAATTTCATGCAGATTCCAAATATATATTAAATTTTACCATTACATTGTAACTTTTAAGATCGATTTATTATAAAATATACTATTGAATATTCACAGTTTTCAAAACCATGTAATATAAATAATAAACAAATATTTACTATTTATGCCACTATTTTCAAAGTTTGTAAAACTCGGTAATTAACTTTTATCACACTCACTGCACAATAATATATTTTTAAAAAAAATTAAATTCTTAATTTTTTTTTTTCGGAGCAAACAACAACTACATATCAAGCGTAGCAAGTTGCCACGTGTGCTATTCTATTAGGGCCCGCGTTAACAACACCCAACAGCTGCTGTCCCCACCCGTCATCGTTATACCTGCAGTCCCTTGAGACCCAAGATGAAGTTTGTAATAGTTCTTCTTTTTTAAATCTAATTTTACACTAATATAAATTAAGGAAAACTCCAAAAAATTAATAATTATTTATAATAATTATTAAAAAATTAAGATCGCACAAAATATTTTTATAAAAGTTTATAAAAAGATTTATTGACTGGCCCTGGATTCCGAGGTATAAACCTTACGGCGCTCCACTATATATAATGTACGTTACTGATGCTATGGGGGGTTAAAAAGTCTCGGTATATCGAAATTTCCGTCTCCACATTTTGTAACGCTTTCTTTTATTTAGTTTCTCATATACGATTTGTCCTAAAAGTGCTAAACGTATCAAAGTTTGCGATTGGAATGTTCTGCATATTATACGCTCAAAATTAGATTAAAACTCGATCGATTGAAATGGACGGCCATGTTTTTTTTAGTTCATCTTGGAATGTGCTTTTTTTGTTGTTTTGCTAGTTTTTCGGCATAGAAGTTTCGATATCAAATTTGTAAACTCTCTGCGACTTGTACTCCATAATAGGGAACTTGAACAAAATTCTAATTTAAAAAATATTGTTATAAATAGATACAGTTCCCAAAAAAAAAAAAATTTCGTAGTTCCATGTAACGAATATAAGCAAAATTTAAATCCCCTTTCAAGCGCTCGGTGATTGGCTGTGCCCGGGGGTGATTAGGTCAGATTACGCGCCAATGGGACGATAGCGGGCGAATAAAATATTTATCTGGCCTTTTACGGATTGTACTCAAACTCTTCTTTTTGTGTTGGTTCCGTTATTATCATGCGGATCACACTAAGCACAATTACAAAAACATCTTAGACGAGCCAAAAATAAACTTAAATAATATAATTCACGACCTATAAGCTGAGAATATAGCTATGACAAGTCGCAAAGCAGCGGTATGACGTCACGATAAGTCCCGCGTAATAATAAATAGCCTGGCGTCACAACTAACAAAAAACTAAAAAATAATCAAATTAACAAAAAACTGTTTATTAGATTAGAAGAAATATTTTACATCTTGTATATAAATTTTACTGAAAATTTCGCTTATACATTATACATTATAACATTGTAATAAGATTCAACGGAAAATGAAACAGTACATTTGCGGGTAAACTTTTTATTAGATTAGAAGAAATTTTTGGACATCCTGTATGAGATGTAAAGTTTTTTTAACTAAATTATTTAAAAATTCTTAAGGTTTAGATGACGCAAACCTCGCATTTACGATACATTTAGCACTTTGAGCAACCGCGGCAGACCCCGGCCCATGCGGTTTGCTTTTGAATGGAAATGGAAATTTTCAACTGCGAAACTCGACAGTCTTAAAAAGCTCAATTAATTTTTGTCTCGCGTGAGTAAAAATAAGAGCCGCGCGCCCATGGCCGCGGCCGTTGCAGCGGGTTCGACTTGCAGCTAGGCAACCGCGTCTAACAGTTATAATGCGACGAATAAGAAACAGAACTTGTTATCAGCACGGTATGTCAGGAACGCGTTTCGAAAACCCGTTTTCGTATTATTAGTGCAGCTAAGAACATTCCTCGTTTGACTAAGTCCTGCTTCTGGTTATTTATTGAAAATTTAAAAATTAAAAGTAAATAATGATGGTGATATTCGAATTCGATACGCTTTTCGAGTAAACGGAAAAAATCGTTAGACCAAATGCATAAACAAAGTCCACAGGAATTATTTATAAAATGCGGGTGTCGAACATTCGGGTCGGATCTTACCTTCCAAATTGTGCTAAAAGGGATAGATACATTTTATTTATTTTATTCATGTGGCGATGTCAAGTTTAATTAGCTTAACAATCAAATCGGGGAAGCTTATATTTGGTTTGAGTTAAGTTTAGCCAGCCAGGTGACGATCGTGACGTCATACAGCTGCTTTTCGATGTATACGGCGACATGTGCGCAGGTTGTAGTCCGAGAATTATATTATTTGCGTGTATTTTTGGTTCATATGTTTGTGTTTAATTTACGCCAATTTGTATTTGTACTTAGTGTGCTTTACATGATAATAATAATAAAACGTGAGATAAACGTTTCATTCGCCTACCAGAAAATAAAGGACTTCCTTTTGATACTAAATTCTGGTTCTTTTAATAGTATAAACTTTTATATTTTTCAAATTGTGCTAAAAAGGATAGCCAAAAACGGGAGGAAAGAAAAAAATCTTGCTTAAATACGTTCTAATATTATACATTTTATCAAATCGGGGAAGCTTTATTTTTTGTAAGTTTATATTTGGTTTGAGTTAAGTTTAGGCAGCCAGGGCTTAATGATGACGATCGTGACGTCATACAGCTGCTTTTCGATCGCGCCCTTTATTAGTAAACTATTCCACATTAAGCGAACTGGAGAGTCAAAAAGTTCTTTTGCTTAAAATACCTTTATTTTCCAAAAGAACGCCTGTATAAGTTATCATTACTAGCAATAATTTATTTTCAACTTGAATAAAAATTAGAATAAAATATCTAAAATATTTTTTATTTTTTTTGTTTTACGATTTGACATTAAACAAGGTCGGTTCGATTTTCTTCGCTTTTTCGTTTTGGAACCGACGTTCCTGATCGGATTTCAAACATTTCGCCATTTTAATTCGAGACGAGCGGATTTCCCACGGGAAATCGCATTGAGTCAGAGCCCTGGCGTTGTTAAACGGCAATTCGATATGGCGTTCGTTTATCGAACGATATTTACGGCAACATCTCGCTTTCATTCGCGGAATATAAACAAATACTACGAAAATAATAATGACCCCCAAAATTTCATCAGCCCTCTCTATAACGGATCTTGGGCTATTTTCACTATCTAAACCCAAATTTGAAAAGTGAGGCTTCCGTCATTCGGCCATTTTGAATTAAAATTTCCAAAATCGACTTTCGTTTCGTCGTACGAGGTCATCATCAGTACAGATCGATTGATATTCAGTCGAAAAAAAAACCGCTTTCAATTTTTTTTGTTGTCTGCTCTGCGTAACGGACAGTCGGGGAGTTTTTGAAGTTGAATAACAATCAAACGGTTGGAACTACGGACTTCGAAATTTTCTCCATTATGGCGGTCAGGCATCGGCGGCCATTTTGTCGGCTGTTAGTGGTTTTTGCTCGGAAAGTCGCCATGAAACAAAATAAGTTTCCGAAATTTTTAGATATCGAGTTGAAATTGGTCAGGTGCTTAGGGTTACATCCTCGCATGGAACCCATTGAAACAGGGCGAAAGTTCCGAAGTATTTAAAAAAAAGGATTTTTTTTTGTGGGGAAAAAGAAGACTTTTTCTAAAACTAATATAGTTGAATATAGTTGAATATAGGTGAATTACAAATTGTTCAACGTATTTCGTGGAACTTAACACAAAAATATATATTTTTTTAAATTAAATAGAGCAATGCGATAAGAAGAATTATGAGGCACGCTGTGCCTTTTAAGTTTCTAGTAAAAGAGCAACTTTTTCTCCATTTTCAGCGCTGAAGAGCAGGGCCTTAAGCCAATACACGCCCGCGCCCGCTCCGCCGCTGCCCGGGTCCCTCCACGAAGCCGACAATGTCACGATGTCTCTTCTGCTCGTCGAGGGGCCCCGAGACGTCACCGTAGCGAGAGGACAAGACGCCGTCTTCCGCTGCGTCGCCCACTCGTCGCAAGGCAGGCCGACGGTCACGTGGTATCACGAGGGACGACCTCTGCCGCCCGAAGGCGACCGTTGGAACGCGGAAACGGCCGAACTGCCATCCGAAAATGACCGATGGCTGGCCGTGGCTGCGGTTCTGCGGGTACCGCGCGTCACCGGCGGCAAAAGGGCAGCCGACGGAGCGGCGGGGAATTACAGCTGTTTGGTGAAGAACGACGTCGGCGCCCTTTTGTCCGGCACTGCCAGGTTGAGAGTCGCGTGTAAGTACACCTCCGCCAAAAAAAGAGAACTTTATGAAAGTATAGAAATCCAAAAAAACAAAAATTCGATTAATTACAAAACCGATTCTAAAAACCTTAACAAAATATATCATTCAATTTTAAACTAACAAAATTAAATTATCCAATATAATAAAAAATAATAAAAAACATCCCTACCTGTTTTGCATGCTATTGCAATCCGTATAAAATATTCGTTGACAAATTATTTTTAATATATTAACACAACGTCAAATGTCATTAATTGTTATATATGTCACCTATACAAAATAAGAATATTTTGAAAAAGATCGAAATTACGATCGAAACGTTAATAAATATTTAGAATAATCACATTAATTGTTTTCGAGAGACCGAATACTCAAGAGAAATTGAAGAAAAATGGAAAATCCATCCTCTCCGCACAAGCATTGGAACCACACCATCGAACTTTTTTATGAACGAATTGTAGGGTCTCCCGTTGATATACTGTCTTTGGAAACAATTTAGACTCGTACGCAAGCTACGCCGCGAAAATGCCGTTATTTGATATTTTTCAGCTATCGATAAAGAAGTTCTCGTCTCCGATAACAAAACAGTCTACGAATCGCAACCGTTGCTGTTGCAGTGCAGTATTCATTCTACCCCGCCCGCAGGGTTGGGGTGGGAGCACGACCAACTACCTCTACCAAAAGACGAAAGGTGAGTATCAGTAGGTGGTGCACAGAATCACCGATATCAAAGTATTTTCAAAGTGAATGCGTAACTTAGACGACAGCTTTATAAATACCAACGGCGCTGTACGATTTCGCTTTTAGACTGACTGACCAGGGAGCGGCGCTTCGCCCGATAGAGGTCGACCAGGCAGCTAAACGTTTATTTACTGTTTTATGAAGTCTTTAGATGAAGTTTTTTGTTTCACCCGAATGTAAGAAAACGAAAAATGGAACGTCCGTTTGGTTGCCGTTTCGCGGCAAAAATTTGCAATTTTCCGCATCGCGGGTCGTTTAGCAACCGTGTGTGGAAATAATACGTATTCCGGATTAACTGTAAAACGCCGCGGCAAGCCAATTAAACGTATAATTTTCTCGACTCAGACGAAAAGATCGCATAACGCATCGGGCGTTTCGTGAATGGCGTGGTGAATATTCATCGAATTTATTGGACTTTTGAGTAATTACCGGTCGCGGGTATACAGAGGGGCGTTTTACTACCATACTTACGTATCGTTTTTCACTACCGAGACAGCCGTTAGTGTCCAGTTGAATCGAAGCCACAAAAACTGCGTCTCTCTCGATCAATCCGCCGTTTTCAACTTGAACCTACACTTCTCTTCGACAAATTTCGATTTCTTCACGTACGCCAGCTCAAAATGAAATGTTTTGGTTAGTTAAATCAATTATTAAAATCAATTATTAATTTCCAAAATCAAAATTATATAAAATCTGTAATTCTCCATCAAAAAACCTCACTTTTTCATTTAAATTTTTGCAAATGGCTTCAAAAATCCGGAACTCCGCTTTTTCTAATTGATCTCTATCAACTTTTGGTTAAAATCAATTGTTTTATGAATTTCCGGCGTCCAAAGTACCTCAAATCTACGATTTGATGAAATTCAAGTCCCTTTTTGAGTGGAACAGCAATTGTAAATGAGAATTTTTGAGTAATTCATATTCATTTTGAATAAACCTTTAAATAAGAAATAAAATGTGTTTTTCTGTGTTTAAGTGTGTTGCATAATTAGAATCTAGACTATTTTTTTAACGCTCTTTTGTGTTCTTGAAGGATCTCCCTGTTTGTCCAATATATTTTTTGGAAAAGGCATTTCAACCTGTACACACCTGATTTTTGAGATGAACCTGTTCATAAACTTAACAAACACAACATTTTCTAAAAATGAAGTTTAATTAAATTAAATTTATTGGAAGCCATGGAGATTAACAAAATGAGACATTCAAATGTATTGCTTAACGATCAATTAGATTTAAATACCTCTCCTTTATTGAACTTAAATTCTCACAACATTTTTCGGTATATGTAGTAGCAGGTAGTTTCTAAATATTACATTTGATAAAGAAACGGTGTTGTCGAAACAATTGTCATGTCATAATATATAATTTCGTGAAAATCTGAACTTTTAGTTCTTATTTATTTTGATAATTGGATTTTCATCAAGTAAAAGCCACCTCACTTCAAACCTTTAAAGATAATAAACACTGGCATTAGATCTGTCCTAAATTTTTTTTGTTCGGAATTCAGTTTAACAACTTCTTTTAGATATGTTCCTTTGCCCAACGGCACATTGTTAATAAGAAGTACCAAACTCTCGGATTCGGGAAACTATAGGTAGGTGGGACCCTGAGACGTTCGAATCGAAAATGGTGTTAATTCAGCAATTTCAGATGCGTGGCCGAAAACGAGTTACTCAACAAGACGAAAGTTAGCAGGAAAGTCGCGGTGCAAGTTTTGCCGAGACTAAAATCGTCCGTCGGGCCTGCCTTCCCGCGATCGGATTCCCCTCTGAACAGAACCGTTCTGATCGGTGATACCGTCGACTTCGTTTGCGTCGCCACCGGCTTCCCGCTACCCACGGTGCAATGGTTTACCGGCGACAACGTTTTCCTCGCTAACTCCTCCAACCTGACGATAACCAACGCAAACCCGGCCTCGGCGGGCGCCTACAAGTGCGTCGCGTCCAACTCCGAAGGTCAAACGAGTCAAACCTACCACCTGGACGTTTATCAGAAACCCTACTTTAACGTCACACCTTCGTCGAAGTCGTCACCGTCGGCGAAAACGATCAGACTCGATTGCCAGGCACGGGGCGTACCCCAGCCGAGAGTATACTGGTTGAAAGACGGCGAGCCCATCAATATCGGGGGTAGGATCAAGAAGCAATGGAGCGGGTTGATATTTAGTCACACGTTCACGTACGATTCGGGCATCTACCAGTGCGTCGCGGTCAACGCCGTGGGCAAAGCTTGGACGGCCGCTCAGATCAAAATCAACAAATCTCAGAACCCGAACCCGCCGGAGAACGTCAAGTGTAGGCCGTTCGATTCGGGAACCGTGTGCCTCACCTGGAGGAATCCTTCGAACGTTACTGTGCAGGCTTACAGTATATCATCGTTTTTATCGGGTAGGTTCATATGTCTCGGCCGGTTGAAGGTCTATAAGGGCGTATTCTTCAGACGACGAGTCGGAGGGGCCAGATTACGTCACAACCAACACTTATCAGCTGGCCGACGGCCTCAGAGATGGTACGAACTACACGTTCTACGTGAGGCTGTATTCGACTGTCGCGAGTGATCAGTCTGAGAGGGTCACCTGTTCAACGGGTGTCAAGGGAAGCCGTAACCTGGACGCGGAGGCGGTTACCGGGACGTCGGTGAGCTTAGAGTGGGACCAACTGAGCTCCGACACGTTATGTAACGGCACCAGGCAGTTTTATAAAGTCTACTGGCGCAAGGACGGCGAGGAGCTCGAATCTGTAGGCAAAACCCTCGACCGGAAGTACGTCATCACGGGATTGACGCCATCTACCGACTACCAGTTCAGGGTTACCACCGAGAACAACCCCCGCGAGGAACAATGGCTTACGTATAGATTGGCGGATGCGCCAGGCAACGGTACCGACGTGGAGGACGACGTGTTGGGCGCACCTCTCCACCTGCAGGGCGACGCCTCCTCTTCGTCGAGCGTTCGGTTGTCGTGGGACACGATGCCGAACGCCAAGTACTATTCCGTGTGCTACTGGATGGTGGGGGAGAAAAGCGACTGCAAAAGAAACGACTTCGTTAAGAGGTGAGCGAGGTCCACGCTTGTAGAGGTGCGCGATTATATGACGGTCGGTTTCAGTTACTCGTGGAAGCTGACGATGTCGAAACTCAAATCCAACACCCGGTACGCGTTTAGAGTGAGAGCCCACGATTTTAACAATGTACCTGGAAAGTTCTCCGAACCTGTCGAGGTTCGAACGCTAGCGGATGGTAGGTCGGTTTATATTGCGGCAACTACATTATAAGTCGATAGCATTTAATGCGATAAATTAATGAATTCGAAAAATAATATATGACAGAGCATTTTTAAAATTTGCAGTGCCTTCCTCAGTCTTAAACCTGCAGTACAAAACTATAAACGCGTCAGCGGCGTGCATATCCTGGTGGCCGCCGGAGCGTCGCAACGGCGAGCTGAGGAACTACGTCGTTTCGTATTCGCCGGACCCCAACTGGCCGCTAGAGAAGTGGGTTGAATTCGGCGTACCGTTGCGCCCGATAAAAACGCAAAAGTGCGGCGACGAAGGTAGGTCATTCTTTGTCAATCATCCAATCAAATCAATCACTTACACTCACAATATTTCAAGCGGAGTTTTTCGAGTATTTTTTAGTTCCTCACATGATCTAAGTTCATCGGATATAGGTGTGTGTGTGTGTGTGTGTGTGTGTACTCAATCTGACCTTTCTTCCATTTGACAGTAGAAGCAAGCCCGTCGTTGGCAGAAAGCATACGTCATCTTTTGAATTCCAGGGTTTCATCATCTGACGAGTCCCATTCAGATTCAGCAGTTTTGATTCACAGATAAAACCAGTGGTGCATGCACCAGTAAATATTTTGAAAAAATAATGCATAATCAATATAGTATTTTCAATATACTCAACTCAACAAAAATGGCAATACAAATACAAAATATTTTTTTTTACTACTTTGGATTTACTTGAAAATGTGATTCAAATGTATTGTTAACTTTCGAAGCCATATATAAGACCTTTCCTTTACATATAAATTACCGATTTCTACGGTTTCATGTCCTTTAGTAGTGATAATAATAAAATTTCTAAATGGATGTGCACAAATATTTCTTTAGAATAGGTAGTGCATTAACGCACCACTGGGACAAAATGGGTTAATTATCCAACCCCTCAACCAGTAATTTTATCAAATCTCGTGAACACTTTGTTCACATTTACAGGTTCGGTATCGACGATTTTGACGAACCTATCGACCGGGTACGAGTACATGCTGATGGTCAGGGCGGCGAACGACTTCGGCATCGGCAAGCCGGTGCTGCCCGTGATCATAAAAACCAACCCCGACCTGGACGACAACAAAAGTAACATGACTGAACAGGCGGCCGCGTTCACCAATCACAAAATCGGCGTGATATTGGGCGTTATACTGGCCCTTGTCTGCATCCTTGCTTGCGTGGTGATGATTTTTTTGCGCAAACGCTGTTTGAAACGTCGTGCTCTGGGCCATGGTCGATTGACTGTGTCTTCAAATTATCATCCAGCCGCGGCTCACTACACCAGCCAGCTGGGTTCGGTCCAGGTGAGGATGGAGGAACCCTGTACCACCGAGTCGCACGAAATAGAGCGGCTGGTTCCCGAAGACAGGTCGTCGTCTCATATACCACCGGAAGTGCCGGAACATCTCGATACGAAGGTAAAAGGGGGAGAGTAGTTCAAACGTACCGCTCGCTATCCCCGCAATTACCCCATTTAGCCAACTTAGGTTTGGTGGAAACCGACCGCGGAATTTTTGGTCCGCTTTTCGTGATATTTGGGCCATCTAACTTGAACTGTAATACCTTCAGTCGTTTTTTTTTCTAATTTATTTAACTCTTTTGTCATGGAAGCATTGGGTTGCTAAAAAACGCGCTTTCACGTGAACGGCACATTTTTCATTCAAGTGTTGCAAAAGTAGTTCAAGTAAAGGGGGGGGGGGGGACTCTTACTAAAGGGGCACCACGCGCTGAGCTGCACTTAAAGGAGTGTGACAAATTTGATGACGCACCCAAAAGGTTATGATTACCACTTCCAAACGCGGACCGCACCGAAAAGGGCGTGGGTAGGTGCTAATAAAAATGTTTGTTTTATTATACCGAAAGTGTATAGTAACCCGTACAGGGTGGATCCGGTACAGAGGATACGGTATTTTAATGAATATAAGTCTCTATAAACGTACACCTATGCATTACTCCGTTTCAGAGGTACAGGCGGCGTTACAGTTCTAAGAAACAAAGATTTTTATCACAATTTGAATGTTACTTGTAAAAAATATTTCTTTACCTTTGAAAACGTGTACAAAATTTTTTTTTCAAATATTTAAAGGGTACGCAAGACTTCCCGAATGGTCACCTAAACGGATGCCACAAACCCGCTCGCCACCAGAACGGAAACATCCCCAACGGTCTCGTGAACATCACCGAGAATCCACAAGTAAGAGACGACGTCTGTACGTGTAACACCGAACCTAAACCCGATCGCTTTCAGTATTACGCGACGGAGCGTGACGTCAAAAAGGACTCCGGGTCGCTTCTGGACCGTTACGAGGAGGACTCAAACTCGAACGTCAAATCGTCCAAGTTCTGGGATCTGTACCGCTTCTTCGAGTCGCCGAAGGCAAAGGACGATCCCCTGAACGCGACGACGCTAACATCTCTCGACGATTCGCTTCTCAGCCGTCAGAGGTCGTCGCCGATTCTCGAACCCAACGGGTGACGTCATGCGTCCGTCACACACACACACATACACACACCTAGAAAGATTTTTCTCTTACACCACCAACACACCCATCGCCTTAACAGTAGTTAGAGAAATTGATGGAGGAGATAAGAATCGATACGACTGATTTTTACAATAATTTTTTACGAACAGACGTTCGTCGCGGCCATCTTGGGCGTCGTGCCGCCTCGCCCCCGAAGAGTACAAAGCTGGTATTACGGTATATTTTAAAAGACAACTGGGGCGGCTGTACGCGATCGCCCGGAGCGGGGATACGCGGAATCGGGATATAAAAGTGCGATTAAACAAAAAATTAAATCCCACGTGAAATTCTAATCATAATTTTTGTCCGGATTTACGGAGATTTATTTGTCGACATTTTCAGTTTTGTTCGGCTGGTTGCCGAGGACGTGACAAATTTTACTTCAAATAATAGCGTCTTTTGCGGAGGCTGCGGGTAGTTCAGACGTACCGGAACTTATCCGCGGCTTCCCCTGTCGCTAAGCGCGAGTAGTTCAAACGTACCGGAAGCTATCCGCGGCTTATACCGGGTTGCTAAGCGCGAGTAGTTCAAACGCGCCGGATCTTGTTTCCCGCCGATTTCGCTGCTATTTCCGCTCCGCGACTTGCTCAATTTTCAATAGCTATCGTGTTTCGGACACGTGACCGTTTCGTGTACCACCCGAGCGACCTCCTTGTGACGTCGTTTTTTTTTTTCTCGCATCTTTGATTTGCCGGTAAAATCGAAATACTTCTTGAACGAATCGTACCTGACCCGTAATAATATATATATATATATATATATATATATATATATATATATATATATATATATATATATATATATATATATATATATATATATATATATATATATATATATAAATTATACTATATAATTAATTATTAAGGAGGACACTTTGTATAGTAACTTAAGGTCTGATGCGTGCGAGAGAGAGAGAGAGAGAGAGGGACAATGTGTGTGTTAAGAGTTAACGATGTTACGTGTTGAAAATTATCAACTATAGCTACAATGTTGATTGTTCGAACATATATTTGTCGTTACCACCTGTTCACGGACGGTTGTTGAAGCCCTTCGAACCAAAGTAACTGTTTTTGAGAAGTATTTGGCAGGCTGGGGCTTTCAACGAACCGCTCAGTGAATTTAAAGGACGCCCCCACATATTCGGAAAATCTATCCAAAGACGATTGCTGACGCCTGGTGTACCTCCAGGGGGCGCCTTTTCACGCGTGTACAAAAATCAAAATCCACAACGACTTTTTCGCGTACTGTTTTTAATGTTATAAGTGTATCCGCTCAAGCGACGTTAAATCTGCTCGTTTATGGCGGCTTCGCCCGCCTTGAAAGGTTGACATACTTAATTAATGTTCAGGGTCGTTAAACTATATATATGTATATCGGTTAATTATTACCTCACGTTTACATTCCTCATAATCGAAAATGTTAAGTATTAAACCAGGGGCGGCTTAACTGAGTTACCTTTTTTTGTTTCTACGTCAGTTTTCGCGAGAGACCCTCAAATTGTTTAAACATTCCGCGTGTACAAAAAAGTTTTACGAGAGCAATAGTTATATCAGCGATCCTAATATATTGAATTATTTATGTTTGTTGTTAACTTATTTTACTGCGCATACCTGTGTATACAATAGTTGCCACTTAACTCGACTGTCTCCCGTCAGGACCCGGGACGCTATTTTAATATAGGGTGTCGCGAAAAAGTCTGTCAATAGTAATATTTCGAGGCGCTGCGTTCTTTTTTCATTTATTTCATTTCTGCCTTATCGCGACATCTGTCGGTTAAAATTGCAACTTTCATTTGACAGAATCAAGGAAAAGAAAAACCAAAGAAAATAAATAAGAATTAAAAGTTCAGATTTTCACGAAATTATATATTAAAGACACGGTGTTGTCGAAACAATTGTCATGTCAAAATATATAATTTCGTGAAAATCTGAACTTTTGGTTCTTATTTATTTACATAAATGGATTTTCATCAAGTAAAAGCCACCTCAGTTCAATTTTTTGGAAAAACTAAAGTATTAGGGAGCCAGGGAGGAAGACGAGCTTCCACACATGTGTGAACTAAAGATGTCTTGATATAATTAACCAGTAGCTTTGAAAATGTAAACTTTTGCAACCCTAGTTCCCGGATTGACCTACTTTTTCACCCACCCATATATTTCTTCGTCCTTGCGTATAAAAAAAATGTCTTCTAGTTACCAACAAGACTTTGTTTGTTTTATTATTATTTTTAGACTTCTCTTGATCATGACATTAACCACCATCCTCGTTCCTATTCTGTATGTTGTTCTCGCGTTTCGAGGGCCGACATACGTCCGTAGGATACTTATTTTCTTTTAAGCGTATAAGAACGTCTACCTCATTAAACGTATTTAGTTTGTATAAGAAGTATTGTCCTAATTATTATTAATCCTGTTTTGTGTAAGATATTTCCTTTGGCGATATTTTTCGTCTCTCAGGGCAACACGATATAGGCATATGTGGCGGCTACGCTTACCGGGCGTGGTATTTTCACGGTATATTCGAGGTGACGTCACATGCGGTGCCCATAAAGTCGGCCACTCGCCGAACGCGATACCAACCGCCGTCGTTTTTGCTTGGGCGAGTCCAAAATCTGCTATTCGCATTTTCAGTGGCGTCGCTTCGAACTCGTCATAAAAGCATGGTGTGTTTTCAAAGTTAGTCGTATGTTTGACTAGTACGGTGGTTTTAAGTATGCGAGAGTCTGGTCTCTTTAGTATAGGAAAAGAAAAAACGAACATAGTTTTATGTTTTTTTTTGTTTTTCAACCGATAAGTCTGATTTGGTGAGGCTGCTGCTATGACGTTTCGTAGCCACAGACGAATTTGTTGGTTAAATACGATTTGGAACGAAATTTTTGTTTAATCCGTTTCGCTGCCGAGTTCCGTCTACATTTTGGTGCTAAAGTGTACATACCTACACTCAAAAAAAATACCAAGTGCAATATATTTCCGCGTATACCGAGTGTTTCAGATTTTCCAGTCTCGGAAAGTTTTGTCGGGTCGTTTGGAGCTTAATTGATATTTCCGCATATAACGCGACATATAACCTCAGCTGTAAGTCGGATTTGAAACGCTCGGTATAAATATGTTTGAGAAAAACCCCCGCCGTATTGAACTCGGATATTTCTACATTCGTTTTGGTTTTACTTTTGTAATCGCTAATTTTTATTCCCATATTAAGGTTACGAGTTACATATTTTCTTAGCGTAGATATATTTATATGATACTTCACTGTGGGTTCGAAACTGCTAAACTTCAACGTGAAAACGAAAATAGCTTTAACTTGGTAACCGGGTTCCGTTCATTTTTCATGGCCGAAAACCTACTAGAATGTTCCTTATGCTTTACACTTTACTCTTAAATACAACTCGCGCGTTTCGTGGAATTGTTCGAGTGTCTTTTGCAGGTGACTCTGTTGACTGATAAATAGTAATAGAATACTTAATAGGCCAACGTCGAAATGAACCGAATTTTGAAATTTTCACGGTGGGCTCGAAATCAACCCCCATGGAAAGTTTACTTCATATTGTGTACACATTTCTACTTACCTAGCTGTAGACGTTCGGATACCCATCTGAATAAGATGATTTATAAATACTTTTCCTAAGGCAGGCCCCCCCACAGTCGAGTAAAGTTTTTGTATTCTATTCATTGTGAAGTTTAAGAATGTACAATTATACATTTAAATGACTGCGTAAAGTGTTATATTTTTGTACGCTTGGATGAATGCATTATTAAAGATATCAAAAAACGTTCGGATTCTTTTAACCCATACAAAAACTTGACGTGGCGGCTTTTTTTTAAAGAAGCAACTAACGTAAAACTGCCGCAATAAGAAGCAAATAACAAATAACAATAAAATCCATACACTTTATAGTCATATGACAGCAGAGTTGCAGCGCAATCTCGAGCTCGCAGCGAATAGTTTTTTAGGTTGGTGGATAATTTTCTAACTCTGCAAAGGATGGCGCTAAATTGCACTGGATTTTCATCATTATATTCCATAGTACGGCGGTGAAAATTGTTTTTTGCTATCTGAGTAAGAACGGTCAAAGAACAAATATTGGTTCTGTTTTATTACGCGTACGTAATTGGCGAGTGCCCTTAGTTCGCTTGCCCACGTTATGGAAAGAAAAAGTTGCAGATATTCCATGGTCGTCATACTTTGGGCGAATGATCCTAGTAATCGTGCCCAACAGTTTTTTTGTGAACGCATATTGAATTGAATTGGTCGCCATAGTTAAATCGTATTTGCTCCTGATAATTTTTCGATACCTCCTCACGATTTATGTTTTCCTGTCCAGAGACACCGAAAGGGAATTCGCACGACGGGACGAGCGCGAAAAATTGACTGATGATAATAGAGAGAGGTTATGGGTAGGAATGGGTAAGCTGAATTTGGCCATTTTGAAAAAAGGGCTTTACGTAATATAGAGGCCGACGAGGCCTATCTTTGGATACCAAAAAGTTTCCCCTACCTCTTACTGTTTGGTTGTAATTATTTTTTTATGTCTAAACACCTAAATTTGATTTTGTGTTCTGTTGGACGGGGTTATTCGATCCAAATTTCAATTTATTCCGCTTAGAAATGAGATATAACTTTGAAAAATTGGCGATAGATTTTTTTTTCAATTTTTCGCTCCGGACGTGCGTGACTTTTTGAAAAAAAAAAAAAGTTAATTTTTTATTTTGCGTGAAAGTTCATTTTATATTGCGTTTAATATGGCGTTCCTTGTAAACACAAAAAATACAGGCCTGTTTAATAATCAACCTTTATTATTTAATTATCACAAAACGCTGGTTACAAATTTAAGTAAAAACACAACAGCTCAAACACAAAATTCCAATTGCAAAATATGAATCTTCGGGTGTGTATTGTCTTTTCGAACCGACCTTTTTTTTTTAATTAATTCTTCCTTTACGCCTTACAACTCGTCGTGCAAGTCTTGGTTCTCACTATCCGCCCCTTTTGCCCGGCACGCCGCCGGAGTCGAAAAATCGAAATGGTACTCGCACCGGTTCGGTTCTGCCACGCTGGTTACTTTGTTTTCCGTGCCGCAGGACACTTTCACTTTCGTCGACCTCTGCGGTCCATTCCAGCATGACTGACCGCCGTCGTAAAGCATTTCACTGTAGGGATCAGGTTCGGGACCCGACCAACTCTTCCACCTAAATTTGTGCGTTAAAATTGAACAATATTTTAAATACTAAATAAAAACGTAAAGAATTACGGAATATGTTAAAGTCAAACTGTATGTTTGACATACTTTAAGCCACAGATCAGAGATAATGAAAATTGGTTAGTTTGTTTGACAAATAAAATCAAAGACCAATGTGTGTGTATGGCGCTTGAAGCTTATCATATCTTGTTTTTACAGATTATTTTCTACTTACTTGCCAAGTCTGGTTTCAGAGGAACTCGATTTTGGTATTTGAAGTGTCTTATCAAATGGGCAAAATCGGTAAACATACTCCCTGTCCTCATAATCGAAACAATTGCCTTCCAAAGTGGCGAACTCTTCCTCGGACCCAAAATCTCTGGTTAGACTTTCCTCAATAGATTTAATTTCATTCTCAATGGTCCTCAAGTTGGTATCGGCTTGGGTAAATTGGTTTCTAGCTTCAGTAGCCTCATCTACTAATTTTTGAGTTTCTTCATCATAGGAGACTCTTTCTTCTGTGGGTGGTTCTGTTTCTTCTTTTTCCTCCTCCTTCTCCTCTTCGTTCTCTTCATCCTCATCATCATCTTGTTCAGTTGCCTCTGCTACTTCTGGTTCGACCCCTTCATCATCCTGGGCAACAACATCATCCCCTGATTGTTCGTTAGACACGGGAGGTTTATACATTCCCGAATCCATCATAATAAAAGGTTTTATCAGACGCCACGATTTCTCCAAAAAGGTGTTCAAGTCAACAGACTCCTGACTGCCCAAGAACAATTTGGCTTCTTCCTCGGACACTTAAAACCACGCCGAAATGTTGGCAACTGTCAAAGCTTTGAAGACAAACTTACCTTCACCATTCCGATCCCGATCGAAACTTGCGCGGCTTTGAATCTCGCCCACATCGACAACACCATCCTGGTTGATGTCCAACTTTTTAAACTCCTCCATCGCTTCATTTCGGTCTTTTTCAGCTTCCTTCTCCGCTTTTTTATTTTTATACTCCTTCTCGAGTTCCCTATAATATTCTAAAGCTTTTTCTTCAACTTCTTCCGCTTGCTTTTTCAACTGTTCTTTCTCGGCTTTAATACTTTCCGCTTCGTCTCTGTTCCGCTTTAAATCGCTTAATTTTTGATTCTTTACTTCCTTCAGTTTTAACCCTTGCTGGCTCAACTCCTGTCGCAATTGTTTGCCGACTTTAAGTAGCTCCGCCTGCTTTTGGGCTTCCTCCCTGGCGGTCTTCCCCAGTTCCAGACAATTGTTGGTACAACTCACCCGACCGGCATATTCATCGGCTCCATCGCAGCAATCGCATACCCCATCATTAACCCTGCTCGAGGGAATATTTAAAGGTCTATGGCCCGCATTCACACAATGGAAAATACCATTAGGACAGGCGCTAGTACCTGGTTCATCGCTACCATCCACACAGTCGCAGTAGTCGTCGTTTACTTGCGTAAACGGAATAGATTTAGCTCCATCAAAACACGTGAAATTTCCTTCGAAAGCGTAAAGGCCGGCTCGAGATAACGATACACCCCTCGGCCGAATTATTTCTGATCCTGCAGTTAGCACACTTATAGTAAAAATGTTTAAAAACAGACTCTCTTTTATTAAATTCATGTTAGGACCCCAATCCTTCCGATAATATATTTTTTTATGCGTGACAATTCAAATACCACTTAACAGTAAAGATTGACCGATACATCGGACACGTCAGTTTTACTTCAATAGGTTTCGAAATTTGACAGTGACTAATCCGGGTGTTGCGTTTGGGCGAGTGTATCTGATCTATTTACCTCTTTCGTCACGGAAGCAAACCTAAAAAAAAAATATTCCAACCGAGGTTTTTTTTTTTAAATCGAATTTACAATATGAAAGGTGTTTTCGTCATGTTCTTTATTTTTTCTGTCGCCATTTTTGTAAATTGTAAAAAGTACAAGGACGGCGAAAAGCCCGATTGGGCCAAGAAGGATATTAGAGACTACAGCGATGCAGATATGGAAAGATTGTTGGATCAGTGGGATGAAGACGATGAACCTTTAGAAGAGGATGAACTTCCCGAACATTTACGACCGATGCCCAAAATCGACTTGAGCCACATGAATCCTGAAAAACCTGAGGAACTTCTTCAGCTGTCAAAAAAGGGACGCACCCTTATGACTTTCGTCCAAGTATCAGGAAACCCAAGCAGAGATGAAACTGAAGATCTTACAAAATTATGGCAGTCAAGTTTGTGGAATAGTCACATACAAGCCGAAAGGTTAGATTGAATGGTATATACAATTTATTTCAGTTTAATTAGTATTTTTCAGATACTTGGTTGATGATAATCGAGCTATATTCCTTTTCAAAGATGGATCTCAAGCTTGGATTGCAAAGGATTTTTTAACTAGCCAAGACAGGTGCGAAAGTGTAACAATTGAGTCAAAAGTTTATCCTGGTAAAAATCAGAAAGAGACCGTCAAATCTGAATTATAAGCTATGTAAATAAGTTTCTTTTATATAAATTGTTTTTTGTTTATTAATTTTATTATATAATTTCACACAGACTCGGGTCCTTAAAAGCAAAGTGCAGTAGTTTATTGTCATCTGATTTACAGTGCTTTGCTTTTCATCGGTTCACATAACATACTCAAACTTTAGTCCTACAATTTGGGCAGTTTCCTTTGATTTTCAACCACGAATTAATGCATTCCTCATGAAATACATGTAAACAATTTAAAAACCTGAAGGGTGTGGATGGAGTTATAGGGCTTAAGCAAATGCTGCACTCTTTCTTTAATGCACTACAAATCACTGTCTAGAATTGACTTCATGGCAAAAGAATTAAAAACTAACCTTGAAGTATTTGTCACATGGGTATCGGCATTTCTTTTACTGGGTGGAGGTCTGTGACGATAAGATTGCTTCTGTTCCTGTTCTCTATTTTTAAAGTGGGTATACAAAGCATAACAGATACTACCTACAACAGCTATTCCAATCATAGCTGCTTTTAACTGAATCATTTTTTTTTCTAAATCCTTATGTACCCTGAAAGATTTAAGTAGAGTTTCGTAAGTAAATACAGGAAATGTCAATAAAAACTTATTTGTCTGTTACGAACCCCAGTGATCCAGGAATATCTTGACACTTGAGTTAATGGAAACCACTGCAAATACAAAAAAGCGTTGCAGTATGCCAGTTTTTTGCACTCCTCACCTGTTAAGTGCTATTTCGTAAATGACATACCCAATTAGTTGAGAAAAACGCAACACATAACATTAAACTCTAAAATAATCGTCAGGAGCTCTGGTCCATAAATATATATTCCCTTATCTTATAACCAAGCAAGCAGAGAAACAGACGTTCGATTCATTTCAATGATGCGTTTCACTGTTGGGCAAGACTACCAGGATCATTCGCCCATTGCCGACTTCCGTCGAGGATTCTCGGATCTTCTCCGGGAAGGAGACAGAATCTTGAAGTTCTAAATGTCGAGGATTGTCAGATCTTCTCCAACGAAGGAGACTAAACTTTAAAGTTCCAAATGTCGAGGATTTTCGGATCTTCTCCAGCGAAGGAGACTAATCTCAGAAGTTCTAAATGTCGAGAGTTTTCGGATCTTCTCCAGCGAAGGAGTTCTTCTTTTGAAATTCTAGCTAATATACATAATGATTAAAACCAACCCATAGACCATGAACTAGCAAATCCAAAAGCGGTTATAAGCAGATATCACATGCATCAAGGAATCTAACCACAAGTCGTGCAACAAAATCCATACGTCCAGGGTGAAAAAGTGCAGAAAAGGCAGTAATGGGAGCGGGTTAGCTGGCATCAATGAGGGACTCATACAAAATTTGGGAGTTATTCCGATGCAGAGCACAATCAAACAAAATATGTTCAAGATCTCCCACCTCTCCACAAGCACACAGGTTAGATATTTTTACGTTTATCTTGTAAAGATGTGCTGGGGAACTACAATGATTACTCCTCATTCTGCACACTGTTGTAATCTCCTTTCTAGACAGCTGCAGTTTGTGGAACCATGGAACTGTTGGAGGTGTCTTATAAGCTGCACTATAAAGTCTGCCCTTTGAACGGCCCCACTCTCTCCACTTGATGGCCCAGATGTGCCACATCTTTGCTCTAATTATCGGGATAAATTCACTAAAAGGGGGCCTTAAATGCAGCGGGTCTAAAAGTCTAGCTTCTGAGGCTATTCTATCCACCGTTTCATTATGTCTTATCCCCCAATGGCTTGGAATCCAGCATAACGATATTTTCCCCCCAAGTCTGCGCTTCAAAATATCAATCTTTGCTTTAATATCTAGTAGAATGTAGCTGTTGGAAGCTTCAACCGCACTGCATCCGAAGCTCTGCGGGGCACTTTTGGAATCGGAGACAATTACTGCCTGTTTAATATTATAATCTAATATAAGATCTAGGCTACCATTTCTGCAGAGCAAATACAACCCATGCCCGACCCTAACATTGAGAGACGGAATAAATACTCCAAAGCCAACTCTATCATCTGGTCCCTTAGAAGCATCGGTAAATATAAATGTCTCTTCCCCGGTCCACATTTTAAAACAAAATTCCCGAAACTCAGTTTCATTTAGACCCACCCCTTTCTCAATTTTGGAATCAACAAAATTAATAGGCGTAAGCTGAGGGGCCAGGTCCTTATTAAAACACGCTAGAACGTCTCCACTATCGATAATATTATGATATGTGGCGGTGTAGTCAAATGCCTCAACTAAGGGTAATTTCGCCTTCCTTCTAAAAAGTTATGATTTTCTTGATAGGCAATATATAGCCGTTGGGTAGCTAAGAAACTAGGATTATTTCTGATTCTAAGGGACTTGACTAAAAACTTAGAAGCCAACATAATCCTCCTCACCTCCAAACTTGTTTCACAAGCCTCTCCCAATAAAATATTAATTGGAGTTGATTTCATCATACCCAATGTCACTCTTAAAGCCTGATATTGAATCCTATCCAGACCAGACAGGGTTTTTTTCCCACAGCACCCCAGTACCATAGAACCATAATCAAGATGGGAACGCACAAAAGCTTTATAAAATATCAAAAGAGTAGACGGATGGGCTCCCCACCATGTCCTGGATAGAAATCTCATAATATTAATTCCACTAGCTGCCTTGTGAATCATCCTGCCAACCTGGGGAACCCACGTAAGCTTAGCATCAAATGTAACTCCCAGGTACCTAATTTCATTTTTCCAGGGAATATTTACACTATTAATTACCAAGTCGGGAAGTCCAACCAAAGCAGATCTAGAGAATAAAATAGCAGACGACTTTTGCGGACTAAGCTGCAAGTTAAACCTATGCATCCAATCAGCCACTGCTACCAAGGCTTTATTCATCAAGCCTATAGCAAAGAGGACATTGACATCGCTACAAAAAAGGACAATATCATCCGCATACTCGATAATAGAAACCCTATGAGGAATTACTAACTTAATTGAATTTACGTATATATTGAATAAAAGAGTCGCTAAGGGAGATCCCTGAGGGACCCCCTTACTGGTTGATCTAGGTCCGACCAAAAGTTGCCCAACAGACGTTACTTCAATTCAATTCAATTATACGTATCACAAAAAATGTTGGGCTAGATTGCTAGGATCATTCGCCCATTGCCGATTTCCGTCGAGGATCTTCGCTTTTGGAAGTGGACCAACACGTACAAAGAAGAAATATAACCAAATTTTGCTCAGCTAGCAAAAACCGATATTGACCGATACCAAAAAAAAAATCGGTTTCCCCCCCGCTTCCAACACGGACCATCCGAGCCCATCCGGCCTCCATACCAGCGTGAACACTAAATCCACACAGTGGAAACACGTTACTTTTCCATAGGACTAAATCTATTCTTTTCTTCTTCGATTTTCACTTATTCGGCTAATAGTTAAGGACTACTCGACTACTATGGATTGTCCGAATACATTGGAATATAAACCCATTACCGCAAATCCAACTTTGACTTCAAAAACAAAAAAAGGTGTACAGATAAATGATACACAACTTGTTTAAATTCGTTTATTCTTCGCTAAATCTTAAATTACAGTCGAGACTTCATTTTCCCATCACAATCAGAAATCAGTAAGTTTATATGCAGTCGAATTCTTAACTAGTTTAACAATAATTAAATAAGTTACAGACCTAAAGTATTTTGTACATAACATATTCGTGCCTCAAGATAAAATGTAACGTCTACTGGTTGCGAGACTGAAATTCCTTCATAAACTTCACCAACAATTCGACGTCGCTAAGCGAAACTGCGTTATATAAAGAAGCCCTAATGCCTCCCACAGATCTGTGTCCCTTCAACTGGTACATGTACCTATTCTCTGCTTCGATGAGAAACTTTTCTTCAAGCGTTTCGTCGCCATTCGGTCCGCCCACTCTGAAAGGTATATTTATCCTACTTCTGACGTTTTCGTCTATCGGACAGCTGTAGAAATTATTGGAGTTTCGGATCGTGTTATACAGTAAGCCACTCTTCTTAGCCGACTGGTTTTCCATTTCTCCGACGCCGCCATTACGTTTGATCCATTGCAGCACTTTTTCCATTACGTACACGCTGTCGAAAATAATGACAGTTAATTAATTCCACGGACCACAAAACATTCTACTCACGAGAACGTAGCCGGAGTATTTAACACGGAGTTGTTTTTGGCCACTTGCCCAAAGTCGAATATCGACGGAGTGATCTTCATCACGTTTCCGATGAGATCTTCTCTGTAAATAACCACGACCGCGCCGGCTGGCCCGATATTCTTCTGAGCGCCGCCAAAAATTACCCCAAACTGCAAATAATGATGGGCAACTTGAATGGAATTGTAAAAATATCGCATATCTTCGAGTTTACTTTAGATACGTCAAATTTCCTCGTCATTATGTTCGATGACATGTCGACCACGATAGGTACTCCGTTGGTCTCCGGAATGTATGGAAATTCGACTCCTATAACGCAAAAAACATTTTTTATTCGTTTTTTTTGGTTTATCGATTCAAACCGTACCGTCTACGGTTTCGTTGTCGCAATAGTAAAAATACGACGCGTCCGGATTTAGCTTCCATTGACCGGGATCCGGCACGCTACCAGGTTTGTCGGCCTTCGGAAAGACCAAGTTGACGGTACCATATTTCTGTGCTTCTTTGGCGGCTTTGTCCGACCAGGTACCCGTCACAGCGTAGTCCGCGCTACCGGTGCGACCTATCAGATTCATTGCGACTGCCGCGAATGCTCCCAAACCACCTCCTTGAATGAATATTATCCTATAATTATCCGGTACGGACCTGAAACAAAAAAATGCGTGGTGCGACATCTATTGGCCCCCATGCAATCAACAGCTCAATATCCGCGTTCATAAATGGCGCCAGGTTTCAGGCTTGAGTAAGCATTTTTTGTTCAATAAAAACGAAAACATGTTGTTTTGGAAGACGCTGTGTGTATAATTGTGCCACTCACAAGAGTTCTCGAATCAAGTCTTGGGAGCTTTTGTTAATCTGGTCATATTCCTTGGACCGGTGACTCATTTCCATCAGGCTCATTCCCGTGCTCTGATAAGATAGGAGTTCACCTTGAACTTCGGCGAGGACCTGAAGAGAAAAAGAAAAATTGGCGTTTTTTATCTTTGTGTGGTTGTGAACCCACAACAGTATCGCGTATCTATCGACAAAGCGATTTGTGCAGTCTGATGCGACTGATTATTAAGAAAAAGCCAAGAATGGCGATTTTGATGGTAATCACGGCGGATGTATACGCTTTCCTTTCGCTTTTTGAAATAGTTTCCTTGATTAAGAATTCATTATCAATAACAACAGACACACGACGTCTATTTCAAGGTAATGAATGTCATGTTCGCAAAAACAAAAACAATTCGCCGTAGGAGAGATTAAAATTTTGACTTGCCTCTCGTGGTAGTTTGGCGGGCCCGGCCCCGAAATTTAATGCGGATTGACTGCTGCCCATTTCGAATACTATTTAACCAGTCGACGATTTATCACGCGAAGTTTTCGATCGTAATACTTTATCGATGAAATACTGAAAATGTCTGACGGACTCGCGGACTCACTGAACCACTACGGTCGTGGTACCGGTACTTAATACAGAGTGTTATCAAGTTGGGCAACCGTCGTAGGGGGGGTCAAAGATATCGGGTGCTGCGTAAGTTTCGGTGTAAATCAACAAATTGTGCAACAACTTGCTCGTTAATTTTTGGATGACGAAAAAAAACTGCAGAAAATATGGATATGTTTATATTGTAAGGGCAAGACTCGAGAGTTCCCTCATACTTTTTTACTAAAATTGTTAGGCGAATTGGTTTCCCATTTTAGCGGACGACGGGTTGTTTCAGTTATGTAACCGTAATTTATATCAAAGTAAAAAAAAACGGGAAATCCTCAAGGAGCAGTTCTTGGGCCTTTAAAAAGTCTTCGTTATTGTAACGTATACTACCGAGGTTAGCGCCAAAAATTTCCAAGGTCAAGGAAATCTCAGAATTACTAAGCTTGCCGATACAAGTGTTCGTCGAATCCTGCACGATCATTTAGGTATGCATAAGGTTAGTGCAACGTTTCGACTATTCGAAAACAACGCCGTGTCGAGTGTGCGCGGTCTTTTTTGGAACTCTGTGGGTCAAAACCGAAGCCTGTGTTAGAAACTTTCGTGACGGGAGATGAAACTATGGTTCTCTATTATGACCCTCTATCGAAAAAAGAATCAATGGAGTGCCGTCGTAATTGTGAAGCACCTCCGAGAAAATTCAGAGCCTGCCAGTCAACAAAAAAGGTGATGGCCACGATCTTTTGGGATTGTTTTTTTTTCTTGTTTCTTTCTTATTCAGGCCGGGAAATTTTGGCGCTGCCCTCGTATATATGGGAGGTACCTTCTAAGTGTCAAGCCCTTGCTTCTGGTACGTCTTGCAGGTTTATAATTTATATAACTTGTTGTGAGTTATTTCCAGAACAGCAAAACGAATAAATTATTCCGGTGGTTCTATAAAGCTCGTTGAATATTGCCGTCATGATTAAGTAGTTTCAAAAATAACATCACGGGTTTGGCTTGGGGTTATCGGCAAGGTGATGTATTTAAACTGTATGGGTTAGTAAAATTTTGCGAAATTTCTTGGAGTAACCATTCATGCCTATATTTCATATTATGTACTGCTTATTTGGAATTGATTTAGGTATAGCAATATTAGGAATTACTAGAATTATAACAGAATTAATATAAATACGTAAACCCTCTATCTCATTTCACTCAAGCGGTCCATACATTAACACTTTTTCACCAAATAGATTAGTAGTTAGTAGTTCGAGTAACAATGAAAATGCTTACTTTGTGTAAGTAATATTCATTTTTCCAAGAAATGTTTGCTTAAATTAAAAATAAAAATGTTTTAATTGGGACCTAGCTTTAAATAGATATCTACTAAATTATGGCCAATCGAAATTGTTTTTAATTTGCACTCCAACATTAACTACTAGCAAACTAGCTACCTTACGGTAGTTATCTATAATGAATGTTAGATACTTACTTAATCATTATTTGGTATCTTATTTGGTGTTTGCGTTTAGTTCTAGTTGAGTTTTACTTATTTGTATTATTATGGGTCTCTGATAAACTTAAAAGTTAGTTTTACCATTTAACCCTTAAATGCTGTTGCCGTTCGACTGTTTGCATCACGGTCACATGTCTTGCGTCACATGAACGAACAAACAGTAGTGTTATCAGTTTTTCGTTGTTGTTGCTGGGGGTCTTGCGTATTATAGCAAAATATTTATGCCTGGCGCAACAGGATCGGATACGTCACAAGAAAAATCTCAGTAGGTAGTGTGCGCTATTATACAAACACCTAAATTTTATTATTTAATGTTAACTTTATAATACACCTAATTGGATATGGATTAATTCTATAAAACAACTAAACTTCCATGTTGAGAACGGGGGATAACCTATCTGACGACTGTCAGTCGTCAAAAGTCCGCATCTCGACTACCGATGGTCCGTGACCTTTGTGATATTAATGGCATCTCTGTCTCTATCTTTTATTCATTTCAATTAATATATTTTTAGTCAGTCGAATTAGCATATCAATAAATGAACAAAGTTGTCTTTTTCGTGGTCTATTGATACCATTATTTTCGAAACGATTGATGATGATAATATAAATGTTCAAAATTCCACTTTGCCTTGGCGAAAGGTCTAAATATTAAACAATATTTTCAAGAAGTCGTATAGCATCAGATTTTCTAATGGAATAAATCCTTTTTTTATAGACAAAATTTTTAAAAAAGAACTTTTTCAGTCGGTATATATAAAGTATATATAAATACATTTGTAAGGATAATCAAAATAAAAAATAACGTAATGAAGCAGAATCGAGTTCAATCCTCCCGGTTCGACAACTACGTCTTAACTAACTTATCGTAAACCCAAAAAACATCGCATAATAAGACCCTAATTATCTCCTCACCGCAACTTGCCCTCCCTGTCCTTTTTGCCTGAGACGCCGATACATTTTAAGATCGGCAAAAAAAACAAGGCGGCGCCTCTTTGTTGCGGGGTCTTGTCGGATATGACGTAATAATATAAATATTCCAACACTCGGCCATCCTGACTATTGGTCTGTCCTCAGACCTAATGGTGAAATTTAAACGTAACTTCAATCTTTCAAAACTACAATAATTTGACCATTCTAGCTTGGTTCCTAGTCTTACGTAATAAAAAAAAACATAATCAATTGTAGGTAGTAGGGTATCTTAAACATAAGCGACATTCCTTTATAAACAATAAAATAAGCAACATTTGCTTATAGGCAACGTTTGCCAAACCACAAAACACGAGCGACGTTCGCTCATAGGCACGTATGCCAAAATACGAAACACGAGCGACGTTCGCTCATAGGCACGTTTGTCAAAATACGAAACACGAGCGACGTTCGCTCATAGGCACGTTTGCCAAAATACGAAACACGAGCGACGTTCGCTCATAGGCACGTATGCCAAAATACGAAACACGAGCGACGTTCGCTCATAGGCACGTTTGTCAAAATACGAAACACGAGCGACGTTCGCTCATAGGCACGTTTGTCAAAATACGAAACACGAGCGACGTTCGCTCATAGGCACGTATGCCAAAATACGAAACACGAGCGACGTTCGCTCATAGGCACGTATGCCAAAATACGAAACACGAGCGACGTTCGCTCATAGGCACGTATGCCAAAATACGAAACACGAGCGACGTTCGCTCATAGGCACGTATGCCAAAATACGAAACACGAGCGACGTTCGCTCATAGGCACGTATGCCAAAATACGAAACACGAGCGACGTTCGCTCATAGGCACGTATGCCAAAATACGAAACACGAGCGACGTTCGCTCATAGGCACGTATGCCAAAATACGAAACACGAGCGACGTTCGCTCATAGGCACGTATGCCAAAATACGAAACACGAGCGACGTTCGCTCATAGGCACGTATGCCAAAATACGAAACACGAGCGACGTTCGCTCATAGGCACGTATGCCAAAATACGAAACACGAGCGACGTTCGCTCATAGGCACGTATGCCAAAATACGAAACACGAGCGACGTTCGCTCATAGGCACGTTTGCCAAAATACGAAACACGAGCGACGTTCGCTCATAGGCACGTTTGCCAAAATACGAAACCCGAGCGACGTTCGCTCATAGGCACGTTTGCCAAAATACGAAACACGAGCGACGTTCGCTCATAGGCACGTTTGCCAAAATACGAAACACGAGCGACGTTCGCTCATAGGCACGTTTGCCAAAATACGAAACACGAGCGACGTTCGCTCATAGGCACGTTTGCGAAAATACAAAATACGAGCGACGTTCGCTTATAGGCACGTTTGCCAAAATACGAAACACGAGCGACGTTCGCTCATAGGCACGTTTGCCAAAATACGAAACACGAGCGACGTTCGCTCATAGGCACGTTTGCCAAAATACGAAACACGAGCGACGTTCGCTCATAGGCACGTTTGCGAAAATACAAAACACGAGCGACGTTCGCTCATAGGCACGTTTGCGAAAATACAAAACACGAGCGACGTTCGCTCATAGGCACGTTTGCGAAAATACAAAACACGAGCGACGTTCGCTCATAGGCACGTTTGCGAAAATACAAAACACGAGCGACGTTCGCTCATAGGCACGTTTGCCAAAATACAAAACACGAGCGACGTTCGCTCATAGGCACGTTTGCCAAAATACAAAACACGAGCGACGTTCGCTTATAGGCACGTTTGCCAAAAATTCGGGCGGGCTGTAAGAATATATTAGGAAACTTTTCCTTTGCTAACAGATTAACGTGCTGTATTTCCTTTTGTAAAAAGGGACACTTTTCTTTAGTGTGACCTAGTTTTTTGCAATTATTACATTCAAGACGTGGTTTTTTGCAGTTAACTGAAATGTGACCCGGAATACCACAATTGTAACACGTTGGGCGGGACTCAGATTTTCTAGAAAATTCTTTATTATTCAAATTTCCTCGACTGAAGCCAGTCCAAGGCGGACGTTTGAATTTAGTGTTATTCTGACGAAAACTACAAATTTCCGTAGGCATGTTACCCACGGTGTTTAGATATGCATAAAGTGCATTGGCATTCTCATGTTGTGCGGCTCCAACAGTTCGCGTCAATCAAATAAACGTCAGGTATATTTATGTTAAGTGCCCTTAATTTAGACATTTTTTTCAAACAATAATCTCCTATGTTTTGTCCCGGCTTAGTTTCGTAATTAGCAGCGTCCTTTAGTAACTTGGAAAATGGAACAGACTTAGGGAAATAGAGGCTCATTGATGTTTTAATTTCAATCCAGCTTGAGTCGTACTCCAAGTTCTCGTCGTACCATTGACGAGCGTTACCTCGTAATCGTCCGGAAATTATTCGAAGAATAGTATCATCGTCCCACTGATAACGTTCTGCCAAACTATCCACTTTACTCAACCAATTATCCACCATCACGTCATCCCGACTTGGGTCAAATTTTGGCACTAAAAGTTCGTCTCCCGCGCGAAAGACCGGCTTACGCCTTTTTAAATCATTTAATTCTTTCCTCAAACGTTTTATTGTCCGTTTTCTCCTCGAGCTATTATCGGAAGAGCTATAACTCGAATTCGAACTGTCACTATCACTTCCCGAAGACGAGGATGAACGTTCTTTCCGTTTATTACGCTTTTCACTTGTAACTGTTTTCGATTTAAATCTTCCCATGACGTACAATAATTTTAACTTGTCCGAGAAGAGAAAAAAAACGATTGTAAGTGATTTTAGTAAAATCCCACCGCTGCTTTGTAAGAATAATCAAAATAAAAAATAACGTAATGAAGCAGAATCGAGTTTAATCCTCCCGGTTCGACAACTACATCTTAACTAACTTATCGTAAACCCAAAAAACATCGCATAATAATACCCTAATTATCTCCTCACCGCAACTTGCCCTCCCTGTCCTTTTTGCCTGAGACGCCGATACATTTTACGATCAGCAAAAAAAACAAGGCGGCGCCTCTTTGTTGCGGGGTCTTGACTGATATGACGTAATAATATAAATATTCCAACACATTCTTTTTATTTATACATATATTATTTACTCTATTATGTCAACGCCGAAAATTTTCTTTTAATTTTAATTCTTTCAAATTTATAAATGTAAACATTATTAATAATTGTATTATATCCTAAATATATAAATTGATTCGGTGGACATTTTATCATGTATTTATTTTTACCATAAATATACCAATGGTGTGAACCAAAATTCATCGTGTATCTCACTATTTTGCGTTTCATTAGTTCGGTAGGAGATTAACACGAACGGGGTTACGCAATCTCCATCTGGGTCGGTTACCCGGACCAGTTATAGCCGGTTTTATCCGTTATGCGAGTACAATTTGTGTAAATATTTATCCAGGAAGCAATGAAATACGCTAGAACAAGTAAACAATGCGACACACAAACTTTTCATGGATTGTTACTTATTTCAAACCTGATCGATCTTTTATGGAGTCCTCTTCTGCTCGGTTAACAAGAAATCTAAAGTAAACTTAACGCCGAAGACGAGTAAATAACCTCAGTTCCTGATGGAAGCGTTGCATATGGCGGTCGTTTGTTTCAGTCCGGTTTCAAAAATGTTAGGAATCAGTTTAAAAATGGTGTCGTTTGACAACATTTGTTTAGTATTTCTTTTAATTGTGAATTAGTACTTGTTTTATAATTCCGGACGAATCGGTCCTCATTTTATGACTAACTATTTTGAGGTTTATTCCACACCTTTTCTTTACGAATTTTGAATTACGTTAGTGATCGGTATTTGTATTCTGGCCGAGTGACCATCGGTAGTGTGGCCATTTGAAGTGAAAGTAGTAGTAACCTCTATTCCTTTACTCCGTCATGGCGGCAAGGGATGGGACGACCGGGAAAAAATAACAAGACAATTCGAACATTTGTATACAATCAGTCGCTAAATCTGTACAAAAGTAACGGTATCAAATCCGCTAAAATTTCGCCGTTATAAAATAGCAACCGCTTAACGCAAAACTGATATAGCTCGGCCTTTCTGCCAAATAGGAACGATTTCGTAAAACAAAAACACCAAAACATCTAGTTGACTTCGGTTGACATTTGCGCGCATCCGCGTACACGCAGCCGGTGGCCGCCATTAAAATAATGTTATATAAAAACTCCATATTCGTAATTATTTTAACCGCTTCTCCGCGGGGTCGAAACGTCTAGTCGCTGTCGTCGTCGGTACGGCCCCTGTTCAATGGTCTTCGGCTTTCTTCGTCGGACCCGTATATCACGTCCTCGTCAGAATCGTTTATCATCGAGAAGGCGGGGTTATCTTTGGTGATGCCCAAATCTGAAAGCAAAACTAATTAAGTGAATAATTGAATCGTACTGTAACCATAGAACAAAAAAAAACAGTCAGAAAAGAAGAGATCCCTCGATATTCTATTTATTTACATTCTGTGGAATGTGAAGTGTAATTATTGTAAAATCTAAGCAAGTTTCTTGTATTTTAAATTTTTTTTAACGAAATAGTTCTAACACATCGGAATCCTGAATACTGAGTGAAAATAGAAGTCTATAAATGCAAAAAAATTTACCCGGCGTTTGGAATGTGGAACTGAATGGCATTTAGGTAGTAATTTTATCTCATCTAGATCGCGATATTTTGAAAAATTCAAAATGCGTTCTTGTAATTTATTTATGTTTGACAATATTCAAATGTTGTTAAAAATCCCAATTAGAAACTTTTCATGTAAGAAAAGCAAGGGATATTCACTTTAATAATTGTTAGAAAGAAGGAAGAATGGAAGTCGATAAGTTTTCAATAAAACCAAAAAATTGCATACAATAATTTTTTTTTTTTTTATTTGGATTGAAGGAAGAACCTCGAGGGAGAGAGACAGAGAGAAAGAGAGAGAGAGACAAAGCGGGAGAGCAAGGGGGACAGGAAAGGGAGAGAGAGAGAAAGAGAGGCAGAGAAAGAGAAAGACCGAAAGAGAAAAAGAGACAGAGAGAGAGCTCTAGAAAGTTTATCTCTTAGTCACCTTGATTGTTATTCCGAAACGGACGTAAACAAACAAAGATGGTTGACTTACCGTGGACGTTTCTGGTTCCCGGCGAATACACGTAAGCCATGGTGTACACGTACAGATTCAGTAACCCATAAAACGACATGAACTGGGAGGAATTGTTGTAATGAGTACCCAGCTGTGCGACGAAGTTATCCTCGAGGATGTCGACGCCGAACCTGAACGTGGTGATCGTGGCGCCAGCCGTCAACACCACCAGCATCAGAAGAGTCAGAAACTTCAACCTGAGTCCTGTAACTCGCAAAGCTGCTACGAAGCGAAAACCTGGCGATAATGGCCGCCCTTACCGAAAAATGGCATGGATCTGAGTTCGGAATACGCTTTCAAAATCAAATACACCAGATAGATCGCGTAGATGGATCCGAAAATGTAGAAGAAAGCTTTGATCACCTAAAATCTCCTGCTCGTTATAATTTTCCGTACCTGCGCCGAGAGCTTACCTCCAAATTCGCCTCCACCGAGTGGTCGTACGAAGGGTCTTCTAGTTCCCCTATTTTTTGCCAAGTCGACAGTACGAGCGAGGGGAAATACATCATGGCGACCACGAAAAACTTGGGCAGGTAGAACGTGTAGACGTTACGTTCGTTCTACAACAAAAATACGGTCTCAATCCAAAAGGGGCACAACTGAACAACCCACCTGTCTGAGACCGTGGTAGACGCTGAGCCAAAAGAGCAGCAGCGCAGCCAAAAAGGTCGACTGGAAAATGGCGTCCAGCATTCCGGGCAGCCAAGTGCTGACCAGGAATATCATCGGGAAGACGGGATCTGTGTGCGCACATACTAAGTAAACATAAATTCTTGTTTTTGGTGCTTACTGTTAAACGCCATCAGCAGCGGCAACAGCAGGCCCGCCCACTTCTGCTCGAACGACCAGCAGTGGACCGGATATTTTTTCAACGCCAGGAAATACCACCACTGTGAAAGTGTGAAGTTAAGGTGAGGCGGGAGGCAGTTTTCGTCCTTACCGCTATTGAAAACGTGCTCGTCAGATATATCAATCTGAACCAGACTTCTATTTGCGTAAAGTCCGGATTGTAAGTCTTGAACTGGAAGCCACAGGTCACGTCAACGTAGAATGGCAACACCGCCTGGACTACTTACGTAAAAATACAAACCCTCGATGTTGTATCTGGAATGGAAAGCTTCCAGGCCGTAAAAATTGACAGTCACGATGTAGTGGGCGTAATCCAGACAGCCCAGGTGCATTACGATAAATTCTTCGCAGGTCTGCTTCTCGCACTTTAAGTGCCGCGTCCTGGAAGAAGCAAAAGAAACCCACTATTCTCTCGATGGCACCTCCCAAAGTAATACCTGTTTTGGTGTTCTTTTGAATCCAAAATGACGGCCGGCTTGTGCTCCTCGGTCAGTCCGGACAGCGAGACGCATATTTGGAACTTCTTGTCGATTATTTCCCCTAAAACGTGATTCTTATTTTGTCCTCAGGGTTAACTAAGTAAAGCCAATACCGTCCGTGTTCTCGGTGGACAGCTTGGCTATGAGCCAGAGTTGTTGGTTGTAGGTCGACATCCTGGGGGTCTTGGTAATAAAGGGTCCCGTTGCTATATCTTTCCGGTTTGGGGGGCTCGTCTTGTTAAATTTGGGAAGCAAGCTTAGCCCGTCGAGTTCGAGCGTCTGGGTGATCGGCGGACCTAGAAATCTCGACTGTATACCCACCAGGTGGGGTGGATATGGTCTCCGCTTACCCGCTAGTCCGATGAAGATCGTCAGTCCGAAAGCGGCGAAGAATAGTATAAACACCAAGACGAATTCTCGCTTGTGCATCGAGTACAAGCGCATCTGCACCGACCTAGCATAGAAAAAATCCTCAAGTATGTAGAAGAATGTAGAAGCGTAAAGGTGACTATTTTACCAAGTACCGCTTACAAATTTTAAATGAAAGCGGTTCAGGTATCAAGAAACGGTTTTAGAATCAACTTTCAAACGTTAATGTATATGTAAAATAAAAAGGGGCCCGGTTCAGTGCCTTGCGGCACTCCCCCACCTCCGACTGTCGCTGTAATACCATTCTCACCTTTCGCATCTGTCGTGGTGGTACGCCGGGGCGATATATTTGTCGAATTCGCTGAAAATATCGCTGAACTGGGACAGCGCGTTTCGGATTTTGGCCGACCATCCTCCGGCAGGCAACTGGTACGCGTAGCCAAGATTAGCGTCGTTTCTCGACATTTTTCTCTCGCGTCGGAAGACCACGTCAAAGACGCTGTTCGTTAGAGGGAAATCGAAAACTACCAGAGATTTACGCGGAAATGCGACGTCGGGTGGGACGCGAACGCAACGGCGCCGACATGTTGGAAAATCGATCGGCGTCTCTGGGACTCCTTGTCGACAGTGGCGTCCCGGTTTGTAATCGGTAACTGGGACGGAGTTCAAGGACGTCAAGGTTTTCTGTTGGAAACTGGGACGCGGCTCGAGCTGCTCTTGCCAGTCGCTGATATGTTTGTTTGGATAAAAAGAAAACGGAAAACTGGGTAATTTTGTAAAATCGGTCAATGGTAATATTTTTTTTGTTTGGGGTCTTGCAAGCCATAAAGTACTTTGCTTACCGAATGTAGTTGAGTACGTGAACCCGATCTGAACTGGAATGACGACGGCGTGATAGAAAATTGAAGAAAATTATACGATAGAAAAAGATGGCTATGCTTTGTTTTTTAATGTTATAGGGTGGACAACTTAAATAACTTAAATAAAATGCATTCCGTATTTGATACCTACACATCTCGAATTGTTCCCAAATTGGGGTCACACTAATTTTCATACAATAGAAAGAAGTGTTTGGTGAATGGAAGCAATGAGACAACAGGTAGTTTAGAATGATGAAGAATAATAATTAGACATGATTATATATGAGATATTAATTATGAATTAAGTAAACAAAAAACTTATATATAAGTAAGAATAATATGAAAATCGATAAATTGTACTACTTACAATGCAAGTTCATTTGTAAATTTTAGTCACTATGTTCCGAGCAGTCAGATTTTCTACTCCATTTTTAACAATCCGCTGCGGCGTTGTGTCCTTTAGGATGAACGGTTTAAGCGTTTACACAGTCACGCAGGTCGATGGTTCACATTTTTTAATATCAACTGAAATTTAAATTTTAAACAGTGTCAATTTCTGACATTTTACTTCGCATTAGAGGAAAAAGTTATTTCAAAAACTGACCCCAAATAAATTCGGAGATATTTCCCACGCCTTCAATTTGACGTTTGTCAATTTCGACGGCAATGTCATTTATTAAACACTCGCTCCGCTGCGCTCCGCTCGTGTCAAAGAAACTCGTGAGTCATAATATACTATTTTATTATTTTTGGACACGAACTAGACAAAAAACGCTATTTTAATAAAAATACGACAGAAATACGGATTCATCCAAGTGAAAAAAATTACAAAAACGTAAAAATAATATATTTGTTTATAAGAACCCATTTGACAGAACCATTCGGCCGCAACCAATGACGCAACTGCTCGCGGTCGCGCCGTGCCGGACTCGTTCGAGTCTTGCCGGCTTCTCCTTCGTCTCGTCGTCCGCCATCTTTTCATCCTTGTTTTTATATACGACGACGTGGCGTCTATTTTGAGTATTTTGTGCGCTGTGCTTACTGCTTTCAGTGCTTTCATTTCGGTTATTTTTTTGTGGTATTATTATAACTGAAGAAGTAATAATTCATGTATGAATGAAGAATGGCATGAAGAAAAGGGAGAAATTTTCAAAATTAAGATCGGACAAATTAATAAGTATTAAGTAATAAGTAGGTGTCATATTTTTTAAAAATAAATAGGACCTAAATAAAGCATAAGAAATATATTTTAATAAAATATATATTGTGGTGATTGCTTAGTTGATACTTTTTTTAAGGAGTGATTGCTGGAACGCGATAAAGCTGACATTTTTGTAAGCTATATACGTTTTAGATTACATATCCTTCTTGATTTTAGATTTCTTTTTGTATCTTGTTGCTTAGTTTTCGAAAACTAAAACAAAATCCACTTTCTCCTTATGTTTTACAAAACCAAACTAATTTTTTTGTAAGCAATTTTAGAGAAAATCCCCCTAATTTTTGGAGTCACCCTTCCTAAAATACAATTTTCACATTAAAATGGTTGTTGAGATAATTCATGAAAAGTCATATTTCTTCTTTTTTTTGCAAGCGATAGTATCTCCTCTCATGAAAGAGATCTTACCGATGAGAGTTTAATGAGGTTTGTATTTAATGAATTGAAATACATAAATGTCTACCTACATCATCGTGGAGATTAGCATCTAAGATCAATGTCATGGGAGTACTATCAGCGTCAAATCAAGCCTTTACTTGAAATGCGTATGTAGGGATTTTTTTAATCTGTTTTTTAAACATTTAAGATGCCAGTCTCGTAGTTTTTATTTTTTTTATGAAATACAGATATATAATACCTGTCTTTCTCAAAACTAAAATATTTTCAGATGCGGATAAGAAGGCAAACTCATCGCAGACATCAAAAGAATGTGAGAATTCGATAGCTGCTTGGCTGAAAAAAGCTACTTTCATCAAAGAATGACGGAAAACCTGTCAAATATCAGTGATTCTCAATTTAGTTCAAGATATAGTATCTTACTCTATTTTTTCATATCTAAAATAGAAAAAAATCAGTTGGGTATAAAATGTGTTTTATTAATGGTATCAAAAGCAATGTTAAAGGCTAATTACAAAAAAAAACTTTCAAATATCGCCTGATATTTCAGTGATGACCATCATATTCAATAGGTTAGTTCCATGACACATTACCTTTCCAGTATTTCTCGTAGGCTGTTGGAAATAACCCAATAATTAAGTAAGGTCCACTGGTATATCTATACAAGATCCTCACAGTCGGATATGCTAACAACGTCCCAACTAGTATAACTGGATATTCTTAGTATGTCCTAACAAACATCCTACATACAAACAAACATATCCTGTGGCATATCGAGAGGAAGATTTTCTATTCTATTGCATCGAAAAAGTTAAATGTACGAATAGTATTTATTATAAAGAAAAAGGACCCATATTTTGCTCTTTATATTATATTATGTTATTGGTGTCATTTAAAAAATTACCTAGGGCCCAACAATATTGATCTAATTTTTTATTCTCATCACCTTCGTTTAAAGTACGAACTTCGATTTATAATCAAATAAAAATGGCGCCGTACGATGTCGATGTCTTGGTTACCGAGCTATTGAAACTTAAAAAGTCGGATATAATAGATGCTTTAATTAATTTTCGGTTGCCGAGCACGGTGAATAGTGGTGACTTGAAGAGATATGTGAAAGATTTGAGTGATTTAAAGTCTGCTAAATGCCCTAATTGCAAAGAAGACCTGCATAACCTCACTCTTTTGCCAGTAGAACAGGGAGGCCAAGACGTATCGCGGAACTCATCGCTGGAGGTAATATATTTAAATAAGCTTATTACTGAAAAAGATGCTGTTATATCTAATCAGTCAATTGCAATTGATTCGCTAAAAAGACATAATAATTTATTGGAAAAATTAGCAAATAATTATGATGCATCAATTTGCGCTCCAACGTCGCCATCTAGCAGCAAAATCGATAAATCTAAAAACATAGATTCGTCTTCGATAATTCACGAGCTGGCAAAGATTCCTGGATCAGCAAGCCCGCAAAAGACGATTTCTGCGGTCTCGCAAAACCAGTCGAAATTTTCGAAAACGCAGATCGCCGCGTCGATTCACGAGGCCGAAACAGTAAAAAAATTCAACGAATTTATTCAATTGGGTTTAGTCGACAACAGCGATGCTGAACACCAGATTGGTGATTGGCAAATTACGTCAGGTCTCAGGTACAAAACTCGCAGCGAAAAATCAAATTACATCGTTGGCACAGGAGAGAACAATATAGCGGGTGCACCCGCTGCGGCTTGCACAGAAGATTTACACTTTTTCCACGTGTTTAATATGCATCCGACGGTAAATACGGAAGCCATGATGGCATTTTTGAAACCCAGATTTCCTGAGGTTACTTGCAAACAACTTGACTCCAGAAGACCTGAAGAATACTCTTCATTTAAAATTGGCATTTCACAAAAAAATACGGAGAGTTTTATGAACCCAAAATACTGGGCGGCAGGCACGAAAATAAATAAGTTTTTCCATCTACGGAAAAGACCAATGGCGAGGAAATAATCTTCTTCTAGTTTCCGTAGGGCTGATCACCAGAGAGGAGGGGTGGGTAAATAATGTTAACTTACATTATAAAATTTTGGATTTCAAACAATTTTGCTCTGAAATTGACTGTGAATTTTGGGCCATCTACAGTCAACAATATTTATCGAACAGGCGTACAGATTGTTGTTTTGGGTGATTTTAATATTTATTTTAGTATTTCTAGCTCTAGGTTGGATGATTTTCTATCGCTAATTCGCCTGTTTGGATTGGAGCCTACTGCTGCTAACTGCTCAGATAATATTATTCCGACAAATCTCGGTTTTACAACTTGTTCGTCGGATCATGAGGCCCAGACTTTTCATATTGTTGATATTATGATGAAATAAAAAACGCAAGAAAATTTTATACAAAACTACTGGATTCCTCCTGCGTCGGTTTTTGCTGAGTCGACCTTGCTGACGTTTCGCCAATTATTCTGTTAGCTTCTTCAGAGCTTGACTGAAACTGGCTCCCATTTTACTCCGTACCCGCTTATATATTGTTTGAGGGGGGCGGAGCTAAATGAGAGGCATAAACACCGTCTCAGATAACTGATTCCCATATTGGTGACAGATGAAGACCTGAGTTGGGGTTAAGATTGTTAGGTTGTTTATATATAGACTCTCGGATTTTTCGTGGGTAGAAGAATTGATTACATGCAAGAATTTTAGTTTTTAGGTTTTAGGTTTAGTGATTATGTTCGACAACAGCTCATGAGTTTATTTGTCTTTGTGTTCTTTGAGCCTAGTTGTTGGATATGCATGGAATGCTGTAAACTCCTGGCATCTCACGGACCGAAGATGTCGAGAGATTTGGGACAATTGGTAAATCTCGTTTTGACGTTATACTTCTTTCGAACTTTTGATATGTGGTCAGTGATATTTTGAACGTAAGTGGCAAGAGTGGGATTGCGTTCGGCCTCATTGCTATTGAAAGGTTGTCGGTGAAGTGTATTTTTTGATGGAACCGATGATTTTTGGGCCAGATGGCGGCACAGGTATCTGTCTGTGTGCGTAGGTTTTCTGTAAACACATTGATAAGAACATCTAAGAATTGAAGTTTATTATTAGTTTCCAACTCATTGGTAAACGTATGTTAGGGTGTATGGAGTTTAAATGTCTAAAAAAATTGACTAGGGTTTCTTGCCCATGAGGCCAAATAACAAAAGTATCATCGACGTAGCATTTCCATAATTTTGGTTTTAGATGAAAAGTGTCGGGAGCTTTCTTCTCAAAGGCTTCCATAAATATATTCGCCATGACTGGTGATGGTGGAGAACCCATAGCTGTTCTCGACGTTATGACACGCAAGCATTTTTCGATTAAGGCGGGAGTTTGGTTCCAGATTCTCTGTTTTTAATCAAACCTTCTCACCTTAATCAAATTTTTGGACAAACGTCGGGGAGAACTATGGGGTCTCCACTATCACCATTGAATTGGAAACTAATAATAACCTTAAATTCTTAGATATTCTTATCAATAGAAAATCAGACCTAACATTGTGCTTACGGAAAACTTACCCATACATACACCTAGACTTGCCACTGCGGTCCTTCTTGGCGGACATCTTCGGCCAGTCAAAGACAAAATTCCATTTGCGGTTCAAAGAACGCGAAGGAGGAGGATAAAAACAATTCTTGCATGTAATCAATTCTACTACCCACGAAAAATCCGAGAGAAAACTCTAAACAACCTAACAATCTTAACCGCGAATCAGGTCTTTATCTGTCATCATACGCAGGAGGAATCCAGAAGTTTTGTAAAAAGTATTAGACTAGCCTGTGGAAGTAGCTTTGAAATATTTACATTTTTCCAAAAATTAGAGCGAAGATTCTGGGCAATTAACTAACACCGAGAGGTGTAGCACAGGGTAAATGTAATTTAACGAAAGATTTATGCTTTGGATGAGAGTCCTGCTAGGCTATCAGAGTTCAATTTTCCCTGCTTCCTTCATTTGAGTTCGAGCAGGAATGCTGCAATGTAATAGTTTTACCATTAACTGATATATACTAATATGTGTTTCCTCACGGGAATTTTAATGTGTCTAAAGTTAATAAAATCTATATTATCAATCATTTATCCCAATAGTTTGGATTTAGAAAGAGGCGCTGCACCACCCAAGCACTATTACGTATAGTCGCTGACATAGTGGAGGGCTTTGAGGGGGATGAGCATAGCACCTTAATGCTGTGTGACCTCTCGAAGGCCTCTCTGTTTGTTTTTATGTGTGACGTATTTCGTTGTTGTACGTATTATTATCCTAATCGTATGTGTATTGTATGTATGTTTATGTATACATATGTGTGTAATTGTATATGTGTTTCTCTGCTGGACTTAGATGTGCTGTAAACATACTATGTATTGTAATTCAGTCAAATAAAGATCTATCCATCTTGATTTTGTGACGGTTGCAACAACTTCTGATTTTATCCTTGCCAATATTCAGCTCGGATGGTACATCTTGAAGGTTTGGATATTCTGATAGATTTTAATGACACTGCCAGATTCGTTGAAAAGAACATTTATAGCTGCTGCTTTTCCACGTGTAATAGGAGCAAACTCTGCATCCACTTCTCTGCTACCACGAACGAAATCGCTAGGCAATCGGTTTGTTTCGATTTTTTCGTTTAAAGTATCAATTTTAATTCAGTCGTCCCCAAACTGAAGTTTTAATATGAATGACATTAATGATTTCACAAGTGTAAAATTATTGCTTTCCATGGCACACTAGTTTAATGAATAAAAAAACATAATGAGTCTGTGTAGGTATTGAAACAAAATAACGACAAAACTAAAAATGTAACTTATATTCGAAAATTTTCCCTAATTTTTGTCAACCCTTAGAAAAACAGTGGCCGGCTAGATATGGTTAAATAAAAGACGCTCAAACGGTAACAGGTTTTATTTTCATTTAACCTCAATTTTTGCACATGTAACAGTTATATTTAAGAACACCATTTAAAACTTTGATTATTTTTTTTACACATTTGAGGAAAAATACATATACATCTTATAACATAATTAGCATCGATTCATTGAAAAAATATTATTTATCAGAATAGAATAACAACACGCGATCTGTATATTTAACGGAAAAGACGTCATTGATTGTCTTATAACTCCATCCGAAGGTTACAGAGGACATACATTTTGCGGAAAACAACCTCATCATGGTTCGTTGTCAATCGACGAACAAAATCAATTCGTAACATTTTCTGGAGACAGCTGGAGGGCTAAAATGAACGTAGGGGTGTTTACCGTGCAGTTTCGCATCTTTCAAGTTGCCTAACGGTACTGCGAAAAAGCTCTAGTCCCTTTATCCCTCCGCATATTTAGGGATAAGTCAAAGAACCCGCCACACCACATGAATGTCCTAAAGGATCAGAACTTGCTTAACGCCGCAGCTGCCTAAATATACATTTATCGTTATATACATATATATATATATAATTAATCAAAATAGTCATCGCGGTTTGGGGTTTGGGGGGGGGGGGTTGGTTAGGGGTGAGGGTTTACACATTACATATCACATCAACCGTAACAGAAAAACACTTAGGACCCGGACTAAACATTACGTATTACGTGTTACGTTGATTTGAGCAAAGTTAAAGGTTCGTGATTGTCAAAACATAACAGAGTCTTTTAAAATCGAGATCTCGACGGTATTTGATATTGAGGGCAGGCCAGTCCTGATTCCTGAAACCGGGGAACTGATGCTTTGTTTTTGACGTTCTTATTTGGTTCATCATTAAAGTGTCAGGGCCGGAACAATCGCACCCACGCGAAGGCAGTACCTCGAGTTGAAGAATTAAAGCTCTGACACATCGTCAAATACTAAATAGGATACTTCATTCGCAACCTCGTGGCGATAGAACCATATTTGGACATTCTTGGCCTCTACACCTGACCAGGCAATACGTTATGGTAGCGAATAATAGAGAGCATGGAAGTCAATAAGTTTATTTTTACTCATATTCCTTCAGGGATAAATCTCTTGAAAATCTATGGAAATATCCATTTTCAACCTTCTTTTATCTTACTCTCGACTTGTGAAGGTCTACCCATAAATTTCTGTTATTTGCCTTTAAAACCACGTGTATCAAAATGAACGGTGTATGTGTTCGAAAACTTGGTCCCCCCGTATAGTTTAATGTCATTGAATATGAGTAATAGTGGTCATTACGTAGTTATTGTGCATTGAAAATAGCTTTATAGGAATGGCCCTTAACCAGTAACCAAACTAACCAGTAATTTTGATACTTTGTATTGCTACACCGGTATATTTGTGTAACGAAATGGTTTTTTTAAAACGGAGGTGGTCAGGGTTGTACCAGCGGAGTAATATACGATTTTAATATTTCCGACCCCGGATAACATAGAAAACTGCCGAAATTCAGATGTCATCAAATTTATATTGGTGAAGGTGGTTCTTATTTGGACCCAATCAATCATCAGGTTAAATATCGGAAAGTTTGCTTAGCTTTATTAGATAGTTTTAAGTGTTTTTAGGTATACCGTGGGCCAAATAAAACGATCCACTATGCGATCTGGAAATACGAAAAAAAGTTGCGTACTAAAGTTTCGTGGACTCTCCTGAAGTTTTAAAATATAACTTTGTTATTTTAAATGAAACACTCTGTATATTTCGTCATTTTTTGAACTCTTGGTTAGAATAAATGTCACTTTCTTAGGAAACCATGATTCGAATTTTTCCATGGTTTGGGCAGAAATTGAGGTTTTATGTTTTTTTCTCATATTTCGATTGTTCCATATAAAATTGTATTGTGACGTTACTGATGCAAGTATTGCAACGAAAATTTTACCACAGACAAGGATATGATGCACTATTCCATCAATTTGACGGATAAGCCTCAGCTTATACAGGGTGCCCCAAACAACTCCATTTTGGCGAATTCAATTAAGAAAATCTCAAATATTCAGATATCAATACCAGGACAAAAAATAATGTAAGTTTGTAATTTATTCGCATATTAAAATCTTACTTACTTTTCGAGATATCCGAGGTTTAAGATAACACCCGTATAAATTCTTGTTGAATTTAAAGCTGCCCCCGTTTGGTCATTTGTTGGCAATATTAGGTATTTTTAGATTTCAAAGACGTGATACTACTTCCTTTAAAGATATAATATTCGAGATATATGAACAAAACCTATTACTAATAATACAGATTTAATAAAACTTCCCTCTGGCATCAAAACAAGAAAGAAATATCAAAATATTTAAAAATGTAGTTGGCTATGGCATCACAATTAAGGTATAAACAAACTTTGTCATTTCTGTTTGTTTTTGTTGTTTTTCAAAAAGTTCATAGTTGCAAGTTTTTTGTTAGTATATATTTTATTTGTATCTTACATCAGTTATAGTTTTTTGGTTGACCTATAAAATTTAATTATTTATTTTTGTTATTAGGTTGACTGAAAGCTAGATAATCAACTATAAAATGTTTCTTTAAATATGAATTCTGAAGGATTGTTAAGTCTGTTAAAGTGTTGTGTAGTATAGAGTCGATTTTTCTCAAAATTTCCACGTATTAGTGGACACCCTGTACTGTCAGCAATAATAATAATAAGTATTGCCAAAAAGTGACCTAATGTGGGCAGCTTTAAAAGTCATCTTCTTAGTCTATGGCTAAATTTTCAATACTATATCAGTGGAGTTTTATATGGGGCAATCAAAATATGAAAAAAAAAAACACATAACCTCAATTTATGCCTAAACTGTGCAAAATTCGAATAAGAACTTCTTAAGACAGTTACCTTTATTTTAACCAAGGATTCCAAAAATGTCGATATCTGCAGGGTGTTATATTTAAAATAACAAAGTTGATGTCGGACGAGACGTTTTGGGACACCCTGTATCTTCAGGAGCGTCCAAGAAACTTTTGTACGAAACTTTTTTTCGTATCTCCTATGCGTTTCCAGATCGTATAGCGGATCGTTTTATTTGGCACGCGGTGTACATCTAGTATATTAATTCGCCCAGTAACTGGAATAAAAAAATCTACGTTTGGGGCAAAAACAAAAGCGGGAAACCGCTATCAAAACCGTCAGTCGAAACATACGGCCGCGGCGTGTTTTAATTAAATTCGATTGTTTCATAGCCGCCGTAAACATTTTCCGCACAATTCCGCACATCTAGATTGCGGCTATTCGTTATTTTACGGTCGCGTCGGTTGAATTTACGTCCGGAAAATATAGGTCGACGCGCAAAAACAATATACAGCATGTTATTATTTTCGTGGGCGATGTTTTTGGGGAGCTCCTCGCGTAAGTGACGTCAGCATGTTCGTCAGACCTTCTTCATCTTATGGCTGCCGACGGGACGGATTCTGCGGACATGTTGCCCGCGTTGGCGATGGAGTTGATCAGTTTTTCGTTCTCTTCGCGAACTGAAACACGCGCATCGGATGTCAGAGTTTGTTGTAAAAATTAAATCATTTTTCAATACATTTTATTATAATAATGATGTTAGATAAATAACAAATACACAGGGTGTTTGGATATTAAGTTCGGAGACTTGAAGGAAAGATTCAATGGGGTAAAATAATGGCAGTATGTCATTTTTCAAAGAAATTTCCATAAAACTTCTGGATTCCTCCTGCGTCGGTTTTTGTTAACAATAATAATAATAATAATAATAATAATACGAATTGACCACTCCCAATTGAAAAAAGTATTTACCGAAAAATACAAGAGCAGGATTGCCAAAGTATTAAACACCAAACTGTCAGCCAAGAATCAGGGCTATTCCTGTACTCACTCAAGCGGAGGCAGAGGTCTAGTGAACATCTATAGTCTATGCCAACGACTTCTAGACTCGCAGGACCGCTTAATACATTTGATCGCCGAGGAGGACAAAGGGTTCACGCCACTTAATTTGCAGCACCGAGAAATCACGTTTGATCTGAACACGAGGCAGGGAAACCAAACTTTGTGGAGACAACAAACTCTACATGGAATGTAGAGCCATTTTGTTTAATACGTAGTCAATTTGACCTATCCAGGACAAATTACTGTCTATGGACAAACGTCAGTCTAATTAATGGATTTATCCTGCATTCTAACCAATAAGCTCTTGTTCAAATCCCTAAGCGAAACATCATCATCATCTCAGTCTTTGTCCCGTTCAAACAAATACCGTTACGCTCAGAATAGCCCTAGTGGCCAAGAACGTCAGACCTTCCCGACATAATTCTCCGGGAAAGAATCAAATATATCATTAATAAATATTATAAATAATAAAGGTCCCAGTATGCTTCCCTGTGGGACACCGCTCGTGAGTTCTTTAGATGTGGATCTAATCACAGAAGTATAACTTCTAAGCACAACTCTTTGGCCACGATGCTTCAAAAACGACTCAATGCAGGCGTGACTATTCCCCCGTATACAGATTAATCAGAAAAGTAAGAGATTCAACTATAAAATCGGTATTTCATCGTACCCAGCTGAATTTTTTTTGTAACTGACGAAATAATCCAACGAAGTTGAACACCCGTGAAAGGTGTTCCGAATAGACTTGGACTTGAAGATTTTTTATTAGTTGTTTGTGTTGTTTTTATATTATTTATTATTTCCACAAAAGAGTCGTTAAATTTTTCAGAGGTCGCGTGTAAATCGACATACTCGCTACCTTCATCATCAATGAAGTAATCTGGAAACTTTTTATGTTTAGAAAGGTTACTTTCTTAAGTTGTTTTTCATGGTACTTTTTTTATTTGGTTAAAATTTCATGACTGTTGGTATATTTAAAATATTTGTGCAATTCTCTAAGTAGCTCAACCCGAAGTAGCTAACGTTTCGCCAATAATCCTGTTGGCTTCTTCAGAGCTTGACTGAAACTGGCCCTGATTTTACTCTGTACCTGTTTTTATATTGTTCGAGGGACATCAAGTTCGACTCAGCAAAGACCGACGCAGGAGGAATCCAGAAGTTTTATAAAAAGTGTGGTAGTAAGTTATGTAACAAAAATTGGAAATCGTAACATTTTCCGAGTTATAGCTTGTCAAGTGTTGCAGAAATCTGTCCCTAGAGGGCACTTTATCTAGAACATTTTTTTTATTTTTACTGTATTTTATTTATTTAGGCTGTCATTGCAAACTAGAACAGATTGCCTTAAGTAGAATCCCAAATCCTGAATAATTGTTGCTCTTGTTTTAAGTCGACAAATGTTATCGTTTATCGTTATCGATTTTTTATTCTCGGCACGAATTTGATCTGTAAATGTGATTAATCAGTTTCTATTTAAAGAGCTTATTATCTACTTGCTACTGTGATGGCGCATCAGGAATATTCAAAGACTGAATATTGCGATATGCAGGTTTATCCCAATATATAAGTTCCATCTGCTAAGACATTCATCAACATCCACAGAAGACTTGATAAAAGAGGATCATTCAAGCCTGATGTATATGCTAGGTATGCGCTGCAAGAGAAGAAAGAATACTTCAAAATGTGGAGGCTGACGGGTCAACCAGTACGACGAAACTTGCTACTCAGGAAAGAATTGCTTGTTCTACAGTTTGGGGAGTTTTGCGTGAAAATGATATTCGGCAATGCAGGTTAATAATGCTGGCCTCCTTTTCCGTAGCAGAAATGCATATCGCGATATCCAGTATCACCTTTGCGTAAATAAAAAGTCGATTTGTGGCTAAAAAAAAATTTGCAATATCAGCCTAAATAAATACAATATAAGCAAAATGAAAAAAAGTGGTAAAGGGCCTTCTACTGACAGGTTCCTGAAACACTTTTATTTTGTGACGATGACTTGCACTAAATCAGAGCTGTGTGTAAAATACCGTTAAAAATAAAATTAAAAAAAATCAATTTATTCAAAATGTTACGATTTCGGATTTTTGTTACAAGATACTATTTTGAATTTTTTCTCCGAACTCAATTTCTGAACGCCCTGTATAGACAATAACAAACAACAATACGTATTAAAAGATCACAGATCCAATTCCTGTGCTCGATGGCGGAGGGACTCACTCGGGTCTTCCTCAATGCTACGCTCTACAGCAGCAATAGCTTCTTCTGTACGCACCGTACGACGTCTCGGGGATGCGAGTTATCAATAAGAGCAAACGTGGTGTAAAAACGTTACCATGGTTAACGATAAAATTGACGTAGTGTGCGATACGTATTCCGCACAGAACCATTATTTTCGAAATAAAATTGCACTATTTGCAAGCGTTGTTCAGGCGCGAGTCTATTCATGACGAATTGCGAAACCAAACTGAGAATAAATCATTTGACAGCTGTTAAATCGGTCGCCATCTTGAACAGCAATGCCAACTTAAAGTCCTATACATCCATTACATTTTTACAGTCTAAACAGAATATATATATCTGAGTTTTTTGAGAGCATATAAAATTTAGAGTTGCTTTATACATAAGTGGCACAATTTAGCCTGTACCTACTACGAAGTGTCCATAAACAGTGTTGTGGACATAAGCCTTGACATGAAAAATTCTACGGCTTAAACAGCATAGTCCGTAAAATACGTTTTTGCATCCTAAAGAAAAAAAAAAGTAAATATTCTAAAACAAAATTGGCCACCAAGAGGGCGTAATTGGTGGTTTTCAGCAAATTAAGGTTTCTAGGTTAACCATAGTTAAAATGCGTACTATTTTAAAGCTGAGACGAATTCAAACCTTTTTGTTTAATGCTCTGCCAGGAAAGTAAAGTAAACGAATGTTCATATCTCCAAAAAGGCTTAACGAACTTGAAATCGTTAAAAGGGCTTTTACAATGCTACCAATCATGACGCCCCAGGTGGGGTTTTCTGAGATGATCGCAAACTTTCTGAAAAAATATTTTATCACTGATTTTCCCATTAAATTTTTTTTTAACCACTAACTCTATAACTAACTATTGACTATTGACGCATTAAAGTAGCAAGACGCGGAAAACGATTTAAAAACTGAAAAAAATCTCTTTTGACTGCAATAATTCATTTCTAATTATCACAATTGTCTTGAAAACAAATTTCGTTTCTATCTGACCGAAAGTAACGTACCTTTCATGTCGCCATTTGATGCTTCACAAGATAAAATAGTAAGGGAAATATAATTGGAGATACGAAAGAGACAATAGCTTAATGGACGCAATCACAGTTATTCCATGACAACAAAACGAACCTAACGGTTAATCAAAAGAATATTACAGGACCTCCGATATTCCGATATAAAATTCAAAAGGTGGCAGAGTCACAGCCCCTGATGAGATTCCAATTGAACAAGATGTAATTGATGTGTTATTAGACCTGTCCTGGAAAATGGCTTCGGTCGAGATCCGTTGCGATCCCTAATAAGCCAAATGCCACAACCTGTGCTGACCGTAGTACCATATCCTTGATGAGTCATACATTTAAAGTGTTTCTTACGGTTATCCACAGCCGAATTTTCAGGACCCTCGAAAAGGAAAAGAAAAAGATGCCTTCCACATGAATGAGGATATGTATCTAGGGGACTAAGGTGCAACATGAAAAACTAACAGTTAAAGTCTGAGTGGAAGATCAATATACCGAAGGATTAAAATATCCATTGGGTTCTGTCACCACTGCTTTTCAGTATCTACAGTGGGGTCATATTCCAAACCTAATGAATCTGATGCAGCAATGAATAGCCTCTAGACATCAACCTTAACAAAACTGATGGTCCTTACTAAATCACTACGCATGAATATCCGTTGAAAAAGAAGACTCGTACAAGTACTTGATCAGATCAAAGAAATAAAAACATGAATTGAAACTGCACGAGCAGCGTTTGTCAGGCTTAAAAAGTTGTTTACCTACAGGGAGTTGAGTTTGGTACTGCTTGTTGGAATAAAAATGTCCATAATCGAGTGCCTAAAAGAAATCGACGAACCAAATACTGATTATTTCTACTCATAGTTTACTACTTAACTTATTTAATAATAAATAAAATTTGGCTAAACCGATTAATTATTAAAACGTAGAAATGTCAGCTACAGGATAATTTGGTGCGTTACGAACACTTTGTTTTCGTAACGCACCATTCATTCGGCATCCTAAATAAAAAAATTGGTAAATTCGGGTTATTCAGATATTAATAACAACCCATTGAGTGGAAATTTTTCCCATTGAGTGTTATGTTCTTTTAATCATCTAATGATTCATATCGTATTTATTATAAAATATTTGAATTTTTTTTCAAGATAACAATTACGCCCCTTGTCGGCTTTACTTATTTTTAATACGTCCCCATTGCCTTATCGGGACACCTGGTATAATTAAGTGGAAATCGTCATATTGCAGCGAGTCATACAAGATGCTTACTTTTGCTGACGATTAACAACGAAACTTGCGTGACTCCAAAATGGTACTGACGACTTGGCCGGCCGTTACGTTTTATCTGTCGTTCCGCAGTT